GTTATTGAAGAAGATACAAGATGCAAGAAACACTGTATCTAGGACAATGACGCCTCAGTCCCCTTCAACATAGGCACCTTGGGACTTCACAGTTTTCCCAGTAATGTTTGGAATCTTCAGATCAGCCTCTAGTTCTCACACTGCCAGTCCCTGGTCTTTGTGGATGGCATTCAACACGTTCAACATTCTCAGGAGTTCTGCTTGTGGCAGGCCTTCCAGAATGTGGATCGCTTTCAACAAATTCTCCACCATCTTTGAAGTATTTGCTCCACACTTTTGTTTGTGCTGCAGTCATTGCATCGTCCCCAGAAGCCTTCTGAATCATCCAAATAGTTTCCACAGAGGAGTGCTCAAGCTTAATGCAAAATCTGATGCAGATTTGTTGTTCTACTCGCTCCATCGTTTTGAATGCGACGGCCACACAGTACACATGTCACTCAGCATCTACCACATCCACTGATTAGTACAGTGAAGTCCTCATTGTTCACACATGCACATTCCAGCACATTCTCCTTGGCTGTCAGGTCACACTGATGTCACGTAAAACTGTTCTCATTATATTAACAATAGATGGACTTTTTCTGGATAGACCTCATATATAAAAAGGTCCCAGCCCAGTGCCCAGCAGAGTAAATGCTCCGAATTATCTCATCCTTAGTCAATTTCTCGGACTTATGTATTCGTCCATTTATTCATTTCTCAATCCATCCCCTCTAGTCTAGTCTCCTGTATTCGGGACACTATGGGATGCCAGCGATGATGCAGAGACAAGTGGTAGGAAGGCTACGTCTCAAAATCGTGTGCTAAAACTAAGGATACACCCAGTGAGGGGCAAGGGGAGGCTGATTTGCATGGGGCAAAAGAGCACATTTTTGTGTGATGGACGTGGTCTATGCTCAATTGTGGTGGTGCTCTCTCACATGCTACACAATTTTCATGAACTCATAGCAATGTGTATTTAAAATCTCATTGCGTGTAAATTCTAATTCAATAAAGTTGATTTTTTTTTAAAGCACCCAATGGGAATTTACTGAATGAGCAAAGGGCTGCACAGTGGATGAATGGATGAGTGTGTGAATGAACGTCGCAGATGATTGCCCTCCTGTCCTGGTGCCGCCACTGTCCCTGCTGAGAGTGCCCCCACCCACTTCTCCCCAGAGGCGGGACTTGGAATGCTCCCCTCACCACCCCTGTCCCCATCACCACCACCAGGGCCAGGGAAAGGCGCCCCAGTGTGACCAGCTAGGGCTCCCCAGCTTCTCTAAGTTTGCTTCCTGGGCTTCCTGCTACCAACCCGGCCAGCTCAGCTCTACTCAGTGGTGCCAAGGTCATGGATGCGATGCCTGACTACGGACGTCCAGTGCCAGCCATGCGGCCGCCCAAACCCTAGCCGACTCCGCCACCTGCTGGCCCTTTGTGAGCTGTGCCCCTGGAGCACTGAGTAGCCAGAACTTTCCTTGAAGCTTGCCAAGAGTCTTGCAGTCCACCGGGGCTTTCGTGTGTATGTGTTTGTGCAATCAAGTTGGCTCTGACTCCTGGTGACCCTGTGCATGAGTGACGTCCACAATGTACTGTTTTCGACAGCCCCGCTCTTCCCCCGTACACTCACATCTGTGGGGTTGTTTTTTATGGAGTCAATACATCTCATATTTGGTCTTCCTCTTTTCCTGCTGCACTCTGTTAATTTCCTATTGAATTGTCACAGCTACATATGAGGTGGGCTGCAAAACGCAGGGCAGCTGAGGCCCAGAGAGGCTAAGAAATTAATCTAAAGTCAAACAGTAAGTTACAGACCTAAGATTCTTCCCCAGGTCAGCCCAGCTCCCCAGTTTATATTCTCTCCATGAAACCGTATCTTGCTTCGGGGGAAGGATGGAATATTCCCAATCATCTACTCTCCCCACCTCCCAGAGAGAGAGAGGGCAAAGGCCTCACTTCACCCTCCCTAATTCACCTTCCAGATGCAGGAATGCAGTTCCTCTTGTATGCCGGGCACTGTGGCAAGCACTGGTCAGTGATGTGAGGAGAAATTGTGTGCTCAAAATAGTGTGCTCAGACCTACGGTACATGAATAGACACCCTGTGATAAACATTTTTTTGTCAGTCCAAGTAGAAAGACCCATAGTTCAATTGGAGTTATGTCAAACAAGGTCTTGAATTTGTTCCTTGGACCCAATCGCTGTGCTGCTAACTCAAGAATAATACCGGAAGAGTGGCATATTATTTTTACATCTCATTTGCATATGATTAATTCTAAGTCAAAGAACATGGAGGTCACCCTGGCCCCTTGCTTCCGGGGCCCCTCTGGGATGTGCCTGACCCCGACTGCCTCCCCTGCTGGCCCCCCATCCTCGCCAGCCCCTCCCCACTCCTTGCCCCTGCCCACACTCCCTCCACTCACAGGAGTCCTGTTCCCTTCCTCCTCTGTCACCCACACAGCCCCCGCCACTTAGCCGCCCACTCGAAAAACTTTTCCCTAAGTTCCTGAGAAGTTGCGTAGGATCCAGGAGAGAAAAATCAAAGTAATAAAACCTCGTTTAATTCCTAACGGAGGGCAGAGCTGTGAGCTGCAATTATCTTAATGCTGAGCTATTTTTATTCTCTCTCCATCTCCGTCTCCTGCCTCTTAGCCGGTCGTGACGCTGTCTTTCTCCCTTTGTCTCTCCGTCTCTCACACGTGTGTTCTCTCTCTTTGGTTTTCCCTACCTCCCCCCTTCCTCTCTCTCTCACCTCCTGTCCCTGTCGTCTTCCTTCCCTTCCACCTCCTTCCTGTCCGTCCCTTGTATCTGTACCTCTGCTGGTCAGTTTTGCCCACCCCTCCTAACCTCAGGATTTAGCAGTCAGAGCTGGGGGTGCCAGAGAGGCTGAGGGAAGAGGGTGAAGACCTCACCCTCCACCCCAAATAGTCCATCTTCCAGGCCTGGCTGCAGGGGAAGAGTCTCCCTTCCCAGCTGCCCCAGCCTGGTCAGGGGCAGCTTCCCAGATTCAGGGCTTCCCAGCGCTCCAACCCATTGGGCAGAACCTCCGTAAACAAGTCCTCCCTGGCCAAATGAGCCCCAACCATTGTGGTCCCAGGGCCATCTCATCTCCCAGGGGCTCCACTCTGCACCTGGTGGTGATGCTGCCTTGTCCCTGACCTCTGGTTACCCGCCCAGCTGTCCGCTGTCCCCTTCATCCCACCCCAGGACCCTCCCGCCCTGCAGCACCGGAAGCTACACCCTCACCTCAGCCCAGGGGCCGCTCAGATGACAGACTGGGCAGCGCCTCTCCCCTGCTCCTTTTGACTTTCAGAACCTCCTTATTTACCCTCCTGAGGCACCGCCAGACTGGTCTTTGCCACTCCCTACCACACCCCATCTGGAAGAGGGGTCTGGGCCAAGTAAGGGGCTGCCCACACCGTGGGCCAGCAGCCTGGCACCCAGCTATTTCCTGACAAGCATATAAGTCAACAAACATTGCGGGACTTGAGCCAGGCCCGGGGTTGGGGGGCGTGGAGCTGAGAAGCCAGGGCTTTGGGCTGCAGTGAGCACAGCTCTGCCCTCCTGCCACCCTCTTCCTCACCCCAGAGCGAACACAGACTCTGGGACCCGGCATTGTGGCCCTGACCCCATTTCCACGGGACTCCTCTGTCCTTCTGCTGCCTCCCCCTGCTCTGCCAAGGACCCGGCATGCTGGGGCCGGAGTGGAAAAGTTGTTGGAGGTCGGGGAGAGCTCCTGGCTGATCCAGGCCTGAGCGTGACCAGGAGAGAATACAGCCAACACACACAGAGCCCCGGGAAGACACACACACACACACACACACACACACACACACACATGCACTCGCACCCGGTCACTGCCACAGAGAAGGATCCAGACCCTTTCCTACAGCCCCCAGAGGGCAATGTGGGCTCCTGTGAAGAGACCCAGGGCCTGGGCAGATACACGGGGACAAGCCAATCCACAGGGCCAAGCCAACCCACAGGGCCAGAGCCCCTCCTTTTGCCCCTCCATAGAGGCACAAACACCTCTGCAGAGAGAGAGGCTCACACCTTATCGAGGAGCACACTCTGCTCCCCTCAGCCCTGCTCCTGAATGTGGATGCGCCAAACCCACACCTGTGATGGTACGTGTACTGGGACAGGCAGCCCCCCCCCCGCCCCCCGAACCCGTCTGCCCCGCGGGGTTCTGTCTCCCTCCCCTCAGATCCGGGGAGAAAGGCAAGGGACACGGGAGTCCAGGGCACATGTTCCTGTGCACCTTGCCCAGGACTACGACCTTCTCCCCCTCCGCTGCACAGGCTGGAGCTGTGGGTGCAGCATTCCTGCCCCCCCCCCCCCGCGAGCTGGCACACCCATGCCCATCACCTTGACAGCCTCTGACAGCCTCCCCCACACCCACACCCTCCCTCATACACACACAGTCCTCCCACACCCTGCCACTCACGCTGCATCCGTGACACTGACACACTTACTCACAGACTAACATGCACTCTTACCACACCGACGCCCCCCCCCAACTCCCCAGCCATAGGCACCGCAGGGCCGCTGGCACTCACACTCACACACACACACACACACACACACACCCCGCCTTGATGACTGACACGTGTCCTCCCACGCGCAGCCCGCTCTCTCGCACGCACTCGCTTTCCAGGACACCCCCATTCACAGCGTGACATGCTGGTGGCACTCTCTTCACGACCTCATAGGTCTCCCCGTGATATTTCGAGTACCCGGCCGGGAAGGGGTTAACGCCAGAGTCCCTCGGCCCCTCGCCCCCGCCCCCGGAGCCTCCCCACGTCGTCCCCCCGCTGGACTCTATCAATAATGCAGCTTCAAGTTCTGGGGCGTCGGTAGGGGGCCCCCAGCCCGCTCCCCGGGCCCGGCTCACACTCCCACCCTTCGCCCCGCCCCCGGGAGAACGCGTTTCTCGGTGCTCATTGGCCGCCTGCCCCCTGAGCCCGCCCACCCGGCCCCCGGGCGCCAGTCCCAGGTGAGGGGCCGGGCTGGGGACCCCGCGGCCGGGGCCAGAGGGCTGAGTGCAGGCGGCCGGGAGACAGTCCGAGACGGAGAGCGACGCGAAGGGGCCGAGGAGCGGCTCGCAGAGCGAGGGGAGGACGCGGCGGCAGGAACACGCCGACCAGCGAGCCGGGGAGCCCACGGGTGGGAACGCGAGGGGACCGAGGCGCGGACCGCGCGCGGCGGGCGGGCCCGGGGGCGGGCCGGGCGGCGGCGACCCCATCCTCCCGCGTGTCCCCCTCCCCGCGCGCGGTATTTTTACCGGCGCGCGCGCAGCCCTCGCGCTCCTCGCCTCTCGCACCCGCGGCGCCCGGAGCAGCGCGGGCGAGCTGAGCCGGGAGCGCAGCCCGGGACCCCGAGTCGCGCGGCCCAGCCCCACCGACCACCCCGCCCGCCATGGACCCCAAGGATCGCAAGAAGATCCAGTTCTCCGTGCCCGCGCCCCCCAGCCAGCTGGACCCCCGCCAGGTGGAGATGGTAAGGGGGCCGCGTCCCACCCCCCGCAGCTCCGCACGCGCCCGGTGCTCCCGGCGCCGCGGGGTCGGCGCTGGCCTGCGGGACGCGGCCGACGGGGAGTCCCGGGCTGTCTGACCCGGCAGCGCCTGAAGTTCGCTGGAGACTTGCGCAACTTTTTCCCGGGGCCTCGGTCCTGATCGCCGCGGCGGAGCGTCGGGGCGGGCCAGTCCGGGCCGCACGGGGAGGGCGAACTACCCTCCGGACCCAGCACGTGTCCTTCCCTCGGCTGCCACCGGGACCGCTGTGCCCCGGGCCGGGCGGCGCCGGTCAGATGTGAGAAACCCCATCCCCTGACCCGCTGTATAGAGCGGGGACCCCCGGCTCCTCCGCCCCACGACCCCATCCCTCTAATGCCGCCCCGGGCGGGGGTCGCCACAACCTTGTTCTGACCTCCTCCTGATGAGGCCCCAGGCCGAGCCACAACATCACAGGACCGGGTCGGGGGTGACCCGTCATCGCAGAGGCCAGACCTGCTCACGGGGGCGACTGAGGTCTCTGGGGGAGCCTTCCTGGTGGCTGAGAGGCCCCGAAAGTTGGGGAGGAGGTGGACGGAGGGAAGAGGGCCCCGCCCCCCACAACCTAGACCCATCCACTTGTTGCTGCGTCTCAGTGGACTCCCAGCTGAGCGATGAGAGCGCGGCCAAGTCTTTGGGGTGGCGCTGGGGTCCACGGCCGGAGCCGCCTCTGGTCTGACCCGCTGTGTCGGAGCCTGCCAGGGGGAGGTGGCAGTTTCAGCTGAAATCACCTGGTTCTCTTGGTGCATTTCCCTGGAGCTCAGAGGGGACCTAATTAACCGACAGCTGGTTTGATTGCTGAGCTTGGGGGGGGGGGTAGTGACTGGGAGTGCTCTGTGCCCCCTCCACCCCACACCCTTACTATTCAGCTTGGCTTGCACACCAAGCAGGGCAACTTGGCATTTTTTTTAAAATGAGGGCTGGGCTTAGAGTTCCACAGCCTGAGAGAGACTGCTAGGGGGGCCCAGACCCAGGCCCCCAGAGATGCCCTCCTGGGCCCTTTGTGGGCCTGCTGCTCGGGGCCCACGGCTCAGCCGCACCTGAGCACCAGTGCGAGGCTGGAGGTGGCTGCAGTGCCCCCGCTCGGCCTCTGCAGCTGGATCCAGTTTCTTTGGAGCCCTTGAGCTGACCTTAGGTGGGCAGGGCCACGTGGGCACCGTGGCCCATGGGAACCTTCCACAGTCAGCTTCAGCTCTCGAGGTCTGATGTCTTCAAAAACCAGGAGAGGAAGGGCCTTGGTAGGGGACGACAGAAAGGGAGGTGCTGGCTGTGGATTAGCCATGGAGTAGGATGGGCGTGGGCTGGAGCGAGGTGGCCTTCAGCACCTTGCTGAAACTCTCTGAGCCTTGGGGGCTCACCTGAGTGAAGTGAGGGTATTGGGAGAGCTACCGAGTTCCTTTGAGCTCCGACAGTCTTTGATTCACAGGTTCCCTGGAGACTCTAGAGCACTGTGTGTTCCCTGCTGCCTGGGGGGGGGGTACTGCTGTGGGGGGCTGCAGGTGTCTGGCCCCCCTCCCACCTCTCCACCTTGTTCTTCATCCCCTTAGATCCGGCGCAGGAGACCAACCCCTGCTATGCTGTTCCGGCTCTCTGAGCACTCCTCACCAGGTGGGCCCTTCCCTGCCCCTGCCCCTGCCCAGCCCCAGCCCCACCCTAACTGCGATGGCTTCATGGGGCGCTTGCCAAAGTCCCCTGAGTAGAAGATGGAGCAGAAGGGGGGCAGGGAGCGGGTAAAGTCTGGGAGCCCAATGCTCCCTGAGTACATTATTAATGGGCACCTCCCAACACTAGGAAGGAAGGAAGGAAGGAAGGGGCACACTTTCCCTTTTCCTGGAGGTTGACCATCTGGGGAAAGTAATTCGGACTCTCTTTCTCCCTCCCCCCTCTCTCTCCCTCCTTTCCGTTCCTCCTCCCTTGGATTCGCTGACGGCCTTCCTCAGAGGAAGAGGCCTCCCCCCACCAGGTGAGTTTCCAGGGGCAACTGGAAGGAGGAATGCGGTGGGTTGTCTGGGATTACTTCCCAACCAACACAGGGTGCCACCCAGGAGGACACATTAGCATATCAATCGCACCTCTGGGGAGAGTGCCTGGTGTCAGGATGTCACAGGCAGATCCTTCTCTGCTCTTGTCTTTGCCCAGACCGGGGTGAGGCCTCTAGGACCTTGGGCCCCTGCCCTGTGCCAGGCCACAGTAACGGGGTGGCTTGGGGCCAAGGGGCGGCCACACCCAGCCCGGTCTGCCCAGGCTGCTCCGGTGGGATGGGGGGGGCCTGCAGTGAGCCCATTTAACCTGGCGTCTTCCCTGGCAGAGAGCCTCAGGAGAGGGGCACCACCTCAAGTCGAAGAGACCCAACCCCTGTGCCTACACACCCCCCTCGCTGAAAGGTACTATCCCTCACCCAACAGTCTGGCTGTCCCTCTGACCCCTGGCCCTGGGCTGACATTGGGGGAGGGAGGTGAAGTCTTGAGCTTTTGTCAGTGGGCAGGCTTGTCCTGTACCCCCTAACCCCTGCTTAGAGGCCGGTTGGGTCCTCCTGAGACCTTGCGAAAACGGAGGTGTCTGGAGGCTGGGGAGGGTGACCGGCCTGAGCCGGCAAGTGGGCATCGACTCGAGAGACTAGCTCTGCATGGCCCCTGCAAGTACAGCCAGAACACCTCCCACTCCCCAAAAGGCACCTTCTTAGGCTGCACCCCTTCCTCCCCTCTCCCACTGGCATAACACTTGCACAGGTCTGCACGCCGGGCGCTTCTTCCTGCTTTTCCTTTCTGTGCGCCATGCCTCACTGGTGGGCACTGGGCAAGGTAAGGGAGTGAGATTTGGTCCCTCCCATCTCGGGGCCCTTGCCTCGAAGGGTCAGGGAGAGTTACAGAAGAGAGGATGTTTAAGTCTGGATTTGAACGATGCAGGTGAGGCCTGGACAGAGCATTCCAGGGAGAGGGAAGAAGGTGTGCAGGGGGAGGAAGTACGGAATCACAGGGTCTTTAGGGCCAGCCTGCAGACTTGGCTGGAAGCGGGGCGCTGCGGAGGTGCACTTGGCAGAGGAGATGGCTGAGTGGAGGACGGAGTGGGTCTCTTCCTGACTAAGCCTTAGGAAGCCTTTCCACGCTTACTGCAACATCCTCACCTTGACATCCTCACCTTGACATCCTCACCTTGATATCGCCTGAGGCTCTTCCTGCCTGGCCAGCCCCCCCTTCCCACAGAGAGAGGGCGGGAGACCAGAAGGGTGTGCTGAGAGCTCCTTCCTGGTGGGTTTAATGAGTTCCCAGCTCCAGCCAAAATCAACAGGTGCACCTGGCAGCCTGCTTGCCAGGGTTGGGAGCAGAGAGGACAGGCTGGGAGGAGAGGAGAGATGGGAAGGGGCCCTTCCTCTGCTCCCAGGACAGGACGGTGAAGGGACAGCAAACAGGCCGTGTGGTTCAGCACCTGGAAGGGCTTCCCACCTGCAGGGATGTGGGGAAGGCCCAGCCCTGAAGCAGGCATGGGGCGGGATAGGAATGGCATCCTCTCTAAAGGGAATATAAGAAATCCCTCCTTATCCTGGGTTGTGGGGGCACAAGTGGACGTGAGGAAAAACCATCTCTTGGGCTCTCGACTGTGAGCATGGGGCAGAGGCCAGGTGAGGAGCACAGGGCCAAGGCTTTCTGGGCACCCTGCAGTGGCCAGAAATGTGCCCCACCCCTACTGCCCCTTTGAGCTGAGCATTAGCAGAGTCTGAGTGGGGAGAAGCAGGTGGGGGGGCTGGGACAGGTGTGGCAATTGGGTTGGGGCTGTGCTGGGGGGGACCTTTGAGTTTAACAAGGGAGAGGGGGGTTGGAGGAGTTTAGTTGGAGGGAGAGAAAGGAGACAGCAGGGAGGGGGAGGGGGAGACCCCGAAGAGCCCTGAGAGAGAGGCACGCGGCACTGCGCACGCACGCAGGAGCTCAGGCAGGAGCTCACGGGCGCCAGCACAGGCCCTGTGCACCCCTATTGTTGTCACTGTGGCTCACGAACTGAGCTGAGCGCTCCTCCTCCAGCTGGGGGAGAAGGAGGCTGCTGGAGCTGCCGCCCCCTCTCCTCCCTTCTCCCCTCCCTCCAACCCTCAGAGGACCTTTCTGTACCTGAAGGGCACAACTTTGTAGGCTTTGACCCCTTTCTGGGCAAGGGAAGGCACCTGGCAGGATCAAGGTCTGCAGGGGAGAAACCGAGGGCCCCTGGGGGAAGGCGGATGACATTGAGTCTTGGCTGAGGGGTCTCTCCAAGGCAGAGCTCTCATACTTGGCTCAAGGTGAAGTTTCGCAGTGTCCCCAAGGCCAGGGCAGGGCCATTTATTGTGCTTTTATTGCCTGGGTAGCTTGCCCAGAGCCAGCGGGAGGCACTGGGCTGGGAGCTCAGGGCGGGGCGGGGCAGCGGGCACAAACAATGCACCCTCTGTGCCTGTCCCCGAGTTGGCAGGAGCTCGGTTCCCTGCTCTCTGCACCGGAGGTTTCCAGCCTGGATCTACCTCTCTGGGCTTTCTGAGAGGTGGGGCTGCCTGCAGACCACGATGGAGCTACAGAAACCCCAGCCCTAAGCTTGCCAGCATCTTGTCTGTGGGCTGTGAGTTTTGTGACCCAAATGCTCTAAAATCCCGCCAGCTCCTAGCTCTTCTGCTGCCTCTGCCTCAGCCACTCCTCACAGTGTCCCCTCAGCCCCTGCCATTCTCCCACAATCCCCCAGCCCTGGCCCCTTTCTCCAAACCACCTGGTCCTTTCCATCTTTTGGAAATTTCTCTCCAGCTGCCCACACAGTTCCCTTCCTAGGCCCTATCCCAGCAGGCCTTGGTGGTGTTGGGGGGGTGGGTGGTGTTTGCTGCTTTCTAGGTCACCACAGAGGGAGCTGGAAGCTTGGGGATGTGGGTCAAGATTGTGGGGGCCGTGTTGAGCATGCCACATCCCTAGGCACAGACTTCACTGGCTGCAGACTATTACGTCCTCCATCTCAGAACTGTTCCAACCTCCTAGAGACTGGGGCAGAGGTGCATGGGGTGGCATCAGTGACGGGGCAGTGCCAGGAGGTGTCAACCAAGCCCAGCAATAGGGGTGGGCAGGATTGGGGTGAGCAGTGAGCCCTAAACAGGCTGGGTACTCCCCCAGAAATTGACAGGCACAGAGCCCCTGGGCTCTGGCCTAGGGGCTCTGTGCCTTCTGTCCGGGGCTGTAGCTGGTGGACACTATGTCCAGTACCAGGTCCTTGGAGAAGCAGGCTTCCCAGCCATGGAATGTTAAGCTGCTGTTGTGCTCGCCTGGTCTTGTCCGGCTTGGTGCCCTAGGGCCTGCTGCCAGCCTCTGGGGGGCCAGCATCTCTGGACAGATTAGGAGCCAAATATGATCAAGAGTCTACCTCCCACTGCTTCAGCCCTGGTCTGGCCTGTAGCCTTCAGCTCTTGAACTAGATGCCTGAGAAGATTAACTCTGCCTTCAGCCCAAGGAAGGAGGCTGGGGCCTGGGCCACAGGCCTCTCCAGCTACAGGGGCTGCTTCTTGGGCCTGGCTGACCCCGTCTTGGGTGCTCCTTTGGCAGCTGTGCAGCGCATTGCCGAGTCTCACCTGCAGTCCATCGGCAACCTGAGCGAGAACCAGGGCTCAGAGGAGGAGGATGAGCTTGGGGAGCTTCGGGAGCTGGGCTACCCAAGAGAGGAAGAAGAGGAGGATGATGACGACGAAGAGGAGGAGGAGGAGGAGGAGGACAGCCAGGCTGAGATCCTGAAGGGCAGCAGGGGGTCTGGTAAGCTGAAGGGGCTTTTATGAAGCCTGGGTCCAGCCACCATGGGTCAAGTAGAGTCCTCCTCAAGTGTCCTGGGACGTCCCCTCCCAGTTCAGTTTCTCACACATGTGAACTGTGATCATAGTACGAAGACCCCCCCATCCTCTCATGCCAGGGGATGCCTCACAGCTTTATCTAACACTGGGGCTGCTCCCATCCCTGACTCATTGCCTCCCCCAATTAGGTTTCTCCTAATAATTCCTCTCTTCCCTAAGAATTTTGTGTCAGGACCCAAGAAAGGACTCCCATTCATGGCGGTGAGAGGGTGCAAGGAGATGCAGGGGTAGAGGACCAAGAGTGTCTAATGTCCTCGTCACCTGCATTTCTGAACCTAGGATATGGTCTCTGTTGGGAGGCTGAGGCTGATAAGTCCTCTCTCCAGGACCCTTGGGCCTGTTTCCCCTATTTCCTAGGCTGAGGTGAGAGGGTGCCCTCTAGCGTCTAGACGGAGAATCTAGGATTCAAGAACCAATCTGGTCCTCAGCACCTCCAACCCCACCTACCTGGGAAGGGCCTGGGAGGGAGGACCTCAGAGCCAGAGGCTCCAGGTCCAACAATCTCCACGAAGGGTCCCAAGGCCCAGAGGATTTCTAGGCAGGAAGATCTCAGACCCTCGTGGCTGTGGGTCCCATGCCTAGCCATGGAAGGCCGCACCACATCTATTCCTCCTAACTTTAGGAGGAATACAAAACTTTATGGTCCCACTATTTAAGGGATTGAAACCAGTTGACTGACCCTGCTTGATGCATCAGTCTTTACACCCAAACAGAATGGCTTGGGCCTCCTCACTGCCTCTCTGGCCATCAGGGCATCAGCCGTGGGAGCAAAAGCTCTCACTGGAGGAGTTGTCAATGCCCACTAAGACCCCCCCAGAACAGGTGGAGAGGAGATGACAGGAGACTGTTCCCTTGGGGTGGGGGTGGAGCAGCGGGGCAGTGAGTGGATTAAATGGCAAGACTACCAAAGAGCTATATCTATTGCCACTACTCCCAGAGTGGCTCCTGGGTGCCCGAGCTGGGCTTGGGAGGGTGCTAACTATTATCTTACTTAAGGTAACCTACACAGTTTCCCTCTTACTACCCCCTTCGGAAGAAGTTACAAACTGAATTATCTAAGTCACATGGCTAGTCATTGGCAGAGCTGTCCTAGTCCAGCGCTCTCTCCACTGGAGATGGATGGAGTATACCATGATGGATGGATACTCAGAGTCTGTGGCTTCATCTTTTTTTCCCCTGTCCCAAGCTGGGCAGAAGACAACTTGCGGCCAGGGTCTGGAGGGGCCCTGGGAGCGCCCACCCCCTCTGGATGAGCCCCAGAAAGATGGAAGCTCTGAGGACCAAGTGGAAGACCCCACACTAAGTGGTGAGGCTTGGGGGTGGGGTACAGGGAGATGGAGCTGAGATCTTGGGAGGGATACTCAGGCCCTGGATCCCTCTGCTTGTTTTGCAGAGCCCGAGAAGGACCCACAGCACCCTGCACACACTGTGCCTGGCACATAGGCACTCAGCCCTGTATCTCCCATAAGGAAGTGGAGGGGACATCGTTGTTTCCCAGAAACCCACTCAGTCCCCATCCTAATTTTCTACCCTTCCCCTCACTTGCTAGAGCTGTGGCTTTTGACTTCTAGACAACTAAAACTGGTCTTTGCTTGTTTGCCCACCTTTGGCTGATGCCCAGAGTCCTGGGCACTTGCTGCCTGATACCTACCTCTGCCCGTCGTTCCCCTATTCACCCAGTGGGAGGCAGGACATGAGAGAGCTTGCTTGGAAAATCTAGTACTCAAAGGACAAAGATTCGTTCTTCACAATTCTACTCCCAGACCCCCTCCCTTGGGCACAGGAAAGCCCCAGGGCAGGCCCCTAAGAGGAGGAAAGCGGGTACAGAGAACCTGTAGGTGCCCTAGATCCTTCTCCATCCCCCACCTCCTAGGGGGGATTCCCAGTCTCTACCCGTCCTACTGGCTTCTACTAGGGCTGAGGATTCAGGTGTCCCTCTCTGCAGTTTTTACACTTTGGGAATCTTCCCCTATCACCCCTGCTCCCCAACCTGGGTGCCTAGAAGATGGACTGGCAGAGGATGCTTCATTGCATTTTGTTTGTGCTTTGGTGCCAGGAATGCCACCTAGTATACATCCTTAGAGGGGTTACATGTTGAGGGGAGCCAGGTCCTTCCTGTCCTCCAGCTGCTCTGCTACCTTCCCCTTTTCCTTGACTCGACCTGAACTGCTCCTGTGCTGTAATAAATCTTTGTAAATAACTGTGCTGAGACTCCTTTTTTCAGGGAAAATGAAAGGGAGGAGGAAGTAACAGGTTCCTCCTTCCCAACCCCCATGTTGAATGAAGGCCTGGTTGGTGGTCATTCAAGGGTCAAGGCCTCCACTCTAGGGTCCGATTCTCTGGTCCAGGAGTCTTTCCTGCAGAAAACAAGCTCGGGATACCCTTGGGAAGGACCGTGAAAGTCCTAGATCCTGCTGGGGAGAGCTGAAAGCAGCTGGGAGGAAAGAGAATAGAAGTGCTTCCAGAGTAATCATGGATTCCTCCAAATCCTGTCCTTCCCATCCCACCCCCCCGCCCGGCCACCACAGGCCTCCTCTCACGAAGTTCCCTTTTGATCCCCTATGCCAGGCTTATGTGGCCCAATAAAGTCGAAGCCCCGGAGCTTCTTTCCCATTCCCCCCACGCTTACGAAGCCTGCCTGGAAGTCTAACTTAAGCGGGAGCCCCCATTTCCGGCCTTCGGGGCTGTAGGGCTTGGGGGCGGGGGCGGAGGCTGAGGCGAAGGGGTGGGGCTTACTTCCCAAAGCACGTCCCCGTTCGCTTTCTGGGGCGGACTCAGCGGCGGAAGTGGGGCCGCCGTAAGATCCCCTTCCGCTCGGAGGCGCTGCCAGGGCCCCGGAGCAGACTGCGGCTGGGGCAGAAGACTCCGGCCCGTGGGTGACATGCAGCAGGTGGGTCCAGCAGAGGTCACCAGGACCGGGTAGTGCTACGAGGGTTGTGTTTTGCTAGCGGACCCCGCCTTCTCGGCCGGTGTCCGTACTTGGTTCCGTCCGACCCTTCCCACACCCACCGCGTCCCAGGTTCCGCCCCCTTCTTCTGCTCCGCTTCTCTCTTTTACGCTCGGAATAGGGGGGTCTCTGACCCTCCGCGGCCCGCCCACCCGGGAGGGCGTCCCGAGTTGCCTTCTTGAGCCTGCACGTTCACTGTGAGGGGACAGGCGAGGGGGACGATATCTGGGTATTAAGGGACAGGAGTTGGGCGTAGGGAAAGGTCAGGGTTTCCTAATGAGGAAAATACGAGTTTCGGTAGGTCTGCGTCTCATTGACATCCGGTCTCCCTCAACTTCCTTTAGAATGACTTTCTAGTTGACATAAAAAGGGCCCTTTAAAGAAGTTCTTAGAGGTGCATAACACCAGCGACACTCATTCCTAACTGACATAATTGACATCTGCCCTCCTATTTTTTTTTGGGGGGGGGAGGTCCTCCGCGTCAGCTTCTTCTTATTTTCTATCTACTGCTCTAACAGTAGAAGTATTGTTTCACGTTTTATTCTGCTCCAGCCCCTCACTCTGTACACTGGATGGTCTCATCTACTCCCTGGGCTTCAGCTTTACATCATTTAAATACCCAAAATGCGTCCAGCTCCACAACTTAAGCGCAGCCCCTGCCTGGAGCCCCAGACTTGCCTATCCAGCTACCTACCAATTGGACAGGTCCACTTCCACTGGAGTTCTCCGTGTTTGAACTTGAATAGGTCTTTTCCCCTATAGACTCATTCTGTCCTTGCCACGCCCCATCCCAGAGAAGAACCTGGGCATTATCTCAGTTTCTCTTCTCCCTCAATTCCCACATCGAAAGGAAGACCTAGCCCAACTAACTTCCTTCTTTTCTATTACCACCACCTTAGTTGTGTTTCTCACCAGATGATTGCAGATGCTTCCCGCAACTTCTGATCCTGGCTGCCTGCACTCAGTCTCCAAACTGTAACTCTTGTGCCTGCACTCAGTCTCCAAACTGTAACTCTTGTGATCCTTTTATTTTTTTTTAAGATTTCATTTATTTTTCTTTAGAGCAGAAGGGAAGGAGGAGAGAGGGAGAGAAATGCCAATGTATGATTGCCTCTCGTGTATCCCCTGCTGGGAAATGGCCTGCAACCGAGGCATGTGCCCTGACTGGGAATCAAACCCCGATGGTGTGGTTCACAGGCCCGTGCTCAATCCACTGAGCTATACCAGCCAGGGCTCTTGTGATCCTTTTAAAACTCAAGTCTCATAGTGTTGCTGCCTTGCTTAAAACACTTTGATGGCTTTCCATGACCTGTGGGAAAGGCTGAGTTCTAGCGCAGTTTACAGAGCTCTCTCTGATCCGAGTCTCCCATGGGCACCCTAAGGTGCAGTCCTATGGCACAGTAGGAAGCACTTGCCCACGCTTCACTATTTTGTTTCTATACCTTTGCACACACCAGCTCCTCTACCTAGAAAGGCCCTTCTCTTATCTGCCAGGCTACCTTCCACTTGTCCTTCAGAGTGCTCTGCTCAGGTTGTACTGGCTCTGGATCACCTTTCCCCCAACCCCCAAGGCTAACTATTACTCTTCTATGTCCCTGTGGCACCCTGTCCATAATAACACAGTGGTTGAAAATGCAGACTCCTGAATCAGGCTTTCTGGGTTCTGACACTGTTTTGTGACCTTGATGAAGTCAGCGCCTCAGTTTCCTAATTCGTCAAACAAAGATAGTCATGTGCTACCTTATAGAATTATTGTGAGGGTTAAGTGAAATAATGTGTACGTAGGGCTTAAAACAGTGAGCACATGAGTGCTCAATAAATAAATGTTATTTATTCTTGTCCATATAAGAACAATATAGAGCAGTGGTTTTAACTTTTAATTTCATGAGCTGCTTAAGGACGGCTGAGGTGGTTTACTTATTCTGTCCCAGACAGAGCCTTAAAGCCTGGCTTTTTGTCAGCAAGTAAAATCCTGTGGTGGGGGGCACCGGCTGCAGGATCTGGATTTATTGAGTGAGAATTTAAAAATGAAAAAGAGCCCTGGCTTGTTTGGATTGAGTACTGGCCTATGAACCAAAAGGCCCTTGGTTTGATTCCCAGTCAGGGTATATGCCTGGGTTGCAGGCCAGGTCCCCAGTTGGGAATGCATAGAGGTAACCACACATTGATGTTTCTCTCCCTCTCTCCCTCCCTTCCCCTCTCTCTAAAAATAAATAAATAAGATCTTAAAAAAAAAGAGTGAAAAAGACCCAGACAGACCTGATGTCTGCTCAGTAAATGAATTTGGGAATGGATAAATGTTACATGACAAGCATTAATTCTGGAGAACTCTGGGCACCCAAGGCAGAGGAAGCCTGAGGATGGCTTCCCAGAATTGCTGACAATTAATGAGGGGCCTTAGTGCAAGAGGATGAGTTTGCCAGAGGGAGGTGGAAACCGGTGGACTTAGAGAATGGAGAGCTAGATTCTCAGAACTGAGCTCTTGTTGGGGGGAGGGGCCTGAGGTGGGCAGGAGGGCAGAGGCAGCCTCCACTGCTGAGATTGGGGATTCCTTTCCTCACTTGGCTGAGAAAGTGCCCCTTGGCTTAGGATCCTGCAGGGACCATGCCCTGGGGTGGTCCAGAAGCCCGGTACCAGGTGTTTAGGGGCAAGCCCCCTTGGGTGGGGTCAGCCTGTGGACTGAGTATGTGCAGAGGCTGGGCATTTGCTCATGCTGTTTTGTCTGTCTGGAATGCTCCTCCTCCTCCTTCCTCCAGGGATCCATGCATAGAATCTTCGAAGCCTAAGTCAGATGGCTCCTCCTCTGCGCGGCTTCCCCAGCCTCATGTACTCCATCCTGGGTCTGATGCTCCTTTCTCTCGGAGCCCACAGTCCTTTTTGTTCGCTCCTCACTGACAGCATTGCTAGCACCGTTTATTGTTTATCTGTCAGCCTCCCTTACCAGACCGGGAGCTGCGGAGTGTCACCAGGGACTAGCACAGTGTTTGGCCCATTGTAGGCTCCAGCATATGGGTGCTGCATTGAACTGGGCTCTCTTCTAGGGGAGGAAGTTACATGAGGGGGGACCCAAAGAAAAACAGGAATTATCTTCTGGAGGGCAGGCTCCTTGTAGTACAGATTTCCCCCATTAGGTGAGTGTTCTAGGAACCCATCTATAGCAATGTACCAGCTGGTGGTGTTGTGAGAGGCTGCATTCAGCCTCAGTGAATTTTTTAAAATACTCTCTCAGTGCATTTGCCTGTTTCACGATGGGTGATTTACAAGTGCACCTGCCCATACTGCAGTGAGTGTTCAGCAGTTTTTTGTTGTTATTTTTTAAGATTTTATTTATTTATCTTTAGAGGGGAAGGGAAGGAGAGAGGGAGACAAATACCAATGTCTGGTTGCCTCTTGTGTATCCCCCACTGGGAACTGGCCTGCAGCACAGGCATGTGCCCTGACTGGGAATCGGACCACAATCCTTTGGTTCTCAGGCCCGTGTTCAGTCCACTGAGCCACACCAGCCAGGGCTGTTCAGCAGTTTTTTTACCAAAAACGGCATGACCCTGGTGCTTTACCCTCTTTATTCACCTGATCTCAACCCAAGCAACTTTTTATTTTCTTTCCCCGTATGAAAAAAGTCCTTAAAGGGATATGTTTTGCTGATGTGGAAGAGATTTAAAAAAAACAACAACAACAGCAGAAGCACTAAAAGGCATCAAAATTGATGAGTTCAAAAACTGTTTTGAGCAGTGGGAAAAATGTCTCAATAAGTGTTTTATATCAAATGGAGAGTAATTTGAAGGTGACTGAAGTTTAAACATGTTAGGATACACAATTTTTTATAAATAAATTTTGTTTGTGGGGATCCCCCCCTCATAAGGGCAATAAATGGTATTGGAAAAAATACAATAACCCCGGCTGGTGTAGCTCAGTGGATTGAGTGCAGGCCTGTGAACCAGATGATCGCGGTTTGCTTCCCAGTCAGGGCACATTCATGGGTTGCAGGCCAGTTTCCAGCAGGGGATGCATGAAAGGCAACCATACATTGATGTTTCTCTCCCTCTCTCCTTCCCTTCCCCTCTAAAGATAAATAAATAAAATCTTAAAAAAAACAATAAAAATAAATTAAAAAATAGAAATAGATTGAGGTCTCCCACATCTAGACTTGTGCAGCTGAAACCAAAAATCCTGTACGTTTGACAGCTTATATTTGTTCGTTCCACTGAGTGGCAGAGAGTATTGGCTCCATTTTACAGATGAAGAAGCTGAGATTTGACAGGTAAGGTCAAAGTCACTTAGCATCCACTTCAGAATTGTCTCCTGACTGCAGGTCCATAGCTGTGCCCTGAAACCGCCTCAGAGTCCTAGTCCCCAAGGGGCAGCTGCCACGTCAGTGGGATAAGGGACAAGGAGCCCATCCCAGCTGACCAATTGTGTGTGCCAGTCGTGCACTTTTTCTGGCTGGGAAGTGGCAGATCCTGGCTTTCGTCCTGTGGGGGCTGGTGCTGGGAGGAGTCTGAGCGGAACCACCCCTAAAGCTACAGGGGACCTTCCCTTGAGTGGGCTGATGGGACTGAGATCTTTCCAGGAAGATGACTGGCCCTTTCCAGACTGACCTTGAGAACGTGATTTCATCAGCCCCAGGTTTTACTCAACAGCACGAAGGGGCGGGGCAGGGCCTGACTCACCAGCCCCTGAGTAGGCCAGGGCCATAAAATCACCGAGCTGGGGGCATCCTGACATTTAACAGGGCCTGGCGTGTGGAGTGGGTAGGAGGGCCGAGTGGATCTCGGTCTGTTAGGGTTTTCCAGTGACCTGTACCATCAGGACTCCCAGGCTGGGGAGGGGAGGGCGTGCTGATGAATGTAGTTTCTGTTTTGGCTTGACTCTTCTCTTTCCATTTCCCCAAAGGGAAGGAGAAGTGGAGCGTGGCCTCGGCCTCGCAGTCCTACTTGTCACTGCTGCCATGTCTTCTCTTTGAACTCCTACTTGTCCAGGAAACTTCCCGAACCCTCTGTGAGTGGGGCAGAGTAGGGCCAGTCAGCCGACTGTGGCAAGGCTGCTGGCGTGGGCCGCTGAGCCTGGAATTACAGGAGAACCTTGTATGTGCCATCCTGGGTCAGCTGCCTGAGACCAGAGCCCATCCTTCCATCCAGCAGCCCGATGGCACACTCAGTTCGGGCAAAGTGCCGTGTACTGGACTTGCTTGGCCTAGGGCCCTGCCTCTAACACTGTAGCCATGGCCCCTGACAGTAGTAATAGCTACTGTTAATCAGGCATAGGTATTTGTGTGTTATTTCTAATCCTTTTAATAGCTCTGTGCAGTGGGCACTGTACCGTTCCCATTGTATAGATGAGAAGACTGAGGTTCAGAGAGTGATTTGGTCAAGAGCACACAGCCTGCTAAAGAATGGCCTTGGGTCTTTGACTTGTGTCCTTTCCCCTGTTCCAGGGTGGGCATTATGGATCCATAGACCAATAAACTTCCTGGACATGTACATGGCCAGGCAGTGTGACCTGGGTCTCGGGCTCCAAGAGAGATGACTTGGAGGCTCTAAGCTACGTGTAAAGGAAGTGCTGAGCTGGAGTACTGAGATCTGGGGTTGGGGAAGCCTGGAGGGCAAGGGAGAACATTGCCCAGGAGGCAACATCTGAACTGTTCTTTTGGGTCAGAATTATTCCCCAGGGGGAGGAGGTCGGTCCAGAATGAGGGAGTGGGGGCGGGGTGGGGGGAGGAGTAGAGGTGCAGAAGGAAGACCAGCCATGCAGTGTCTTGGGAGCATTCAGTGGTCAGGAACGTTCTGGGGGAGGGACGGACTCCCCCCTAGCAAGAGAGGAGTACTGGGGTCTTGCTGAATCCTTCCTCCTTGACCTTTGCCCTCCAAGGAGTCTGACCTCCACTCCTCTCCCTGCAAGTCCAGGCTCGGGGGAGGGGAGGGAACAGCCAGCCTGCCAGGTAGTGGAGGGCAGGGCAAGACGCCATCAGAGGGCAGAATCCAGCTCCAGGTGAGGTGGTCTGGACCTGGCAGGGTGTGGCAGAGTGTGCGTGTGCGTGTGCCCAGGTAGGGAAGGGTGTAAGCGGTCCTTCAGCACGTTTCCTGAAAACCTGCCATGAGCCTGGTGCCGTTCTGCGTGGTGGGCACGCAGCCGTGGGCAGAGCTCTGGGATTCCCTGCTCTCGTGACGTTTGTGTTCCAGTGGGAGAAGACAGTCAATAAGCACAGACCGCTAGTCACACGTGTCTGGGGTGGTACATGCTGTGGAGAGAGAATAAGCAGGGTAAGTGGTTGAAGGGCGGGGCTAAGTAGGGAGTTCAGGGAAGGCCTCTCCGAGGGACATTTACAGAGACCTGAATGGGGGAAGGCAACTTTGCAGGGTCCTGGGGGAGGAGCTCTAGACAGAGGGCAGTAGATACAAGGTCCCTGGGGTGGGAGCTTGATGTGGCCAAGGAGCCAAGGTGGACTCGTGTGGCTGCAGCAGGAGGTTCAAAGATAAGAGGGGCGTGGAGGCCAGGGTGGGTGCGCTGGCCTTTCCACTGGGTGAGCTGGAAGCCATGGGAGGCTTGGGGCACTGGGGAGGTACGGTCTGCCTTTTCCCAGATTTCTCTGGTTGCCTCGTTCAGAATAGACTCCGGACGGGGGCAGGAGGTAGGGAGCCGTGGAGGGTGAGAGAGGAGGCCTCAGGCAGGGCGTGGTGGTGGTGATGGTGATCAGGGGCAGGTGCTGGCTGGGTTTTGAAAGAAGAGCCAACAGGATTTGCTGACGGTTTGGATGTGGAGGATAGGACCCTGGGCTCTTCACGGGCTCTGGCTGGGTTCCCATTAGCCTCTTCGGGGTCTTAACACCCGCTCCCTCCCTGGCCAGCAGATGCTCTGCAGGCAGCAGCTACACTTGGGTTTGGGGGTCGCAGTCCAGCCCAGAGGGAAGCCTGCGTACTGCTGGGGTCAGCTCTGCCCCATCCTGGCTGGGAGAGTGGCGGGCCCCTCCTCGTCTGCACGGCCCCTGGTTGGGGGTGTGGGGGGTGTAAAGCAGCGGGTGTCTGCAGGCCGCCGCACAGGCCGGGCCCGTGCGTTTGTTTCTTCTACGTGGACCTCTGCTCCCTCCCTGAACCAGCGCCTCCTCGGGCAGGACCCAGCCACCACTGACCTCTTCCACACCCAGAGCCTCTGCCCATCCGTGGCTTCGCCCTTACCCTGGGCACAGGGGCAGCTGGACCCAGAAAGCTCCAGCGCAGGCCTGAGGCCGTCACTCAGAGACAGCCAGAGCTCAAGACTGTCTTCCTCCCCCAGAGAAGAGGCAGGGATGTCACGCCAGCTACCCCTTCCTCGGCGATCACCCTGGGTCGGGGACTGTGCTCGGCCATTGTGTTGAAGCCATCGGTCCTTCTGATACCTGTAAGGAGTCAGTGCTGCTGCCACCCCCAGTTTACAGGGGAGAAGACGGAGGCACAAGAAATTCAGTTGCTAGTAAGATGGGAGTCCAGGGTTTGAACGTTCTGGCTTGGAGTCTAATTTTTTCTCGGCCTCACCAATTCCCCCTGATTTGTGCTGAGTTGGGGGCCTCAGGAGGAAGCCCCTGAGGCAGTTTGGGGTGCAGAGCAGGGAGGTGGGAGGTGTCGAGGGCCTGTGTGCACTGTCCCCTCACTCCAGGAGAAGGTTTGAAGGAGCCGTACTGCCCCAGTGTGGGTTGTTTCTGGACAGAGATGAGACTTGTGCCCTGCCCCAGGGCCATGGAGCACGGCTTCGGGGCCCGGCCCTGCGGAGGAGGCTGGGGTGCGAAGGGCGAGGAGACTCAGAGGAGACTCGGTGGCCCGTGTCCGATAACCGCTCACTCGCGTGCCAGGCACTGTGTGCTTCCCGTGCGTTGCTCTCTCTTCCGACGGCCCAGACAGCACGGGGTCCAGACAGGTGTCCCCAGCTTCCTGATGTAGCTTCTGAGGCTCGCACAGTGAGTAAGAGGCATTGTTCAGATTGTTGACCTTGGCCAGTTCCTGGCCAAGAGCTACAGGCGACTGGGTGTCATGCTACAGAGCGGTGACTCGAGCTTGTAGCCTGGGGGTGACCGAGGCCTGGCACGGACCCCTTCTGTGCCCCTGACACATAAGAGCTGTGGAAATTGAGACCTGGGGGGTTGGGCAGGAGCTGGGAACTAAGTGGGGCCAGGCACCAGTGGTCACGGATCAGTCCTGGCACTTCCTGAGAGCCTGTGCGGGGGGCCAGGACAGCCCCCCACTTCCTGCCCCCACCCACCACGTGGGGATTCACCTTTGCCTCCTAGACTTTGGCCTCTTTTTTTTTTTTTTTTTGAGATTTTATTTATTCATTTTTAGAGGGAGGGGAAGAGAAGAAGAGAAACATCAATGTGTGGTTGCTTCCCACGTGTCCCGTACTAGGGACCTGACCCACAACCCAGGCATGCGCCCTGACTGGGTATCGAACCGGCGACCCCATGGTTCGCATCCCGTGCTCAATCCACTGAGCCACACCAGTGTCTTGGCCCTATTGATACAGAGGTGAGGGAGCCCGACCTGAAGGCACAGAGAGCTCGCTCTGGGCCGCCCAGCAGCTGAGTTACAGAGCTCAGGTTTTGCTTTTTGGCGTGATTTTTATCACACGTCACTATAGTGTAATAAGCCCCCCCCCCACATTTAATGTCCCTTTTACCTAAACAGCCTTGCCAGCCACATGTGCTGTCTCAAAGCACCTGCTGTTTTAGATGCCAGCCCTGGAGGGAGCAATTATTGTTGCTTTTTTTATTGGGGTAAAATAAACATTTACTATTTTAACCATCTCGAAACGTACAGTTCTGTGGCATTGAGTACAGCAGATCCTCAAATAAACATTGTGGTTCAGCGTCGTTTCATTGCGACGTGGCCGTAGGAACTTAACTCTTGTTTGTGTCAGTTAGCCTGCAGTAAAGTGAGTTTCATTATGCTCAGTTTCGCTTAAAGCACAGAACCCGTCAAGGATGCTAAGTGGGGACTTAGTGTATTTTGTTGTTGCCTTTATTATTTTTTATTATCATTTTATTTGTTTTTTTAAGATTTTATTTTTTTATTTTTTAGAGAGGGTGAGGGAGGGAGAGAAACATCAACGTGCGGCTGCCTCTTGTGCGCCCCCTACTGGTTACCTGGCCCACAACCCAGGCATGTGCCCTGACTGGGAATTGAACCGGAGACCCTTTGATTCACAGGCCAGCGCTCAACCATTGAGCCACATCGGCCATGGCAATTGTTGCGTTTATTTAATGTGACTGTAGAAATTAAATCTCAAGAGTAGTGATACTTGCCCCAGATCACACAGCTGTTAAGGGCTGACTGAGACTTGAACCCTGATTCAGAGTCTAGTTCTCTTCCCGGGGTAGCAGCTGCCTGCTGCTGTGAATCCTGGACCCCGCCCGAAGCTCCCACTGCAGCTGGCGGTGCGTGAGGTTCCTGGGGGCTGGGAGAGGGTGTCGGGCCCTTTGCTTAGCTTCCCGCTGTTCCCAGACCTGATTCGCCTCTTCCTCCCCACTCCGCTTTCCCTTTCAGTCTAGGATGATAAAACCTCCAATTTATTTCCTGCTCCCTCCTTCCTCCTCTCCCTAAGCCTTAGCAGCGTAGCTTCTGCAAACACGTCAAGTCTGCCCCCAGCCCGGATGGACTGCTTCACGACACACATTCCATCCCCCTCCCAACACCTCTGAAGGCACACCTGGCCGGCCGGTGCAGCAGGCAGTGGGCTGGAGGGAGGTGTGCTCTCGGGGCCGGGGGAGGGGGGTGGCCCCGCTGTCTCCAGCCTCACAGCACTCGGGCCTGCCTTATCAGGAGGGTGGGCAGGGTGGCCCGGGGCCAGGCCTAGCTGTTCTGAAGTGCTTTCGGGAACTGCTAAGGGCAGTTCCAGGCCAAAACAGCTTTCACCTCTCAGACCGACAGGTGGTCTAAGGGCGCCGGGAGGCCTTTTGATGTCATCTAAGTGAGCGTGCGACCCCAGTGTTTACGGAAAGTCTGAAAGTCTGAGCGGCTGGGCTCTCTGTGACCACCTGCTGGGCCAGGCCCGGAATGGTCCTGTTTTTATCTGGTTTATATAGTGAGGTTACAAGTAATGTTTTCTTTTCATTCTTAGTTTCTCTTGCTTAAAAAAAGGGGGTTTTAAAAAACCACTGACTATTTTCCTTGGTGAGAAGGACTTGCCCCGAAGTCACCCGAGATCAGTGGCTGCCCGGACACGAGGGCTGAGGCCTTAGCTCCCGACTGGTGCTCATTTGCTACCAGCTCTGGCTTGTTTGGACTCTGAGCTGCTTTCCTGGGGGAAGGAGATACAGAAAGCCCTCCCCCGACTCTGGCCGGCCCCTCCGCCTCTGTGTTTGGCTCCCGCTCCCCCTGGCGGCTGCAGCTCCCAGGCTTCCCAACACCTCTGCTCTCAGCCCCTGTCTGTGTCTCTCGCTCCATCAGGGATGTCTGGGTGTGAGTGTCAGTGCTGTTGCCACTCTGAGTGTGTTTCACACCCGAGCTGCTGCCACCCAAGTCCTGTCCCCAGGGAGAGAGGGAGAGAGCCAGTGGGAAAGAGAGACAGACACAGGAGCAGACTGGGAGTAGGGAAGCTGGAGAGCTCTGCAGTGAGACGGGCGAGCGGGGGAGAGAGGCAGGACGAGGCGGACAGAGAGGACAAGGAGAGAGGAACACGAGAGAAACTGGAGGAAGGGGAGAGGCTGGTCTGATGGGGGTGGAGAAGACTGAGAGGCGAGAGAGAGATGGGGAGGAGCACGCAGAGGGACGACAGCACGTGGGCAAGGAGGGGGCGACAAAGACACAGGAAAGATAGAGAGGTGGTTTTCGAGAAACACAGGAAGGGGGAGAGTTGGAGACAGGTCTGGCAGAAGACAAGAGGGCTATTAGAGACCAGGAAATGTCGCCTGCCCTTGAGCTGCAGCCCTGTCACAGAGAGCGATGTGCCGAGCCTGCAGTCTGGCGCCAGGTTCAGCTGATGGATGGGGGGGGTCCCGTTGCCAGCGGCCTGTCACGTCCCTCCTCTGACGGCCTCCTTCAGAGTTGGGCTCAGCTTTTCTTCAGTGCCCTCCAGATGAGCTAGTGATGGGGACCCCGGGAGTGTGGCATTGGGGGGCAGCCTTGGACCGGTGCCTGTGCAGAGGCAGAGGGCTGGGTGAGCTGCCTTGCTGGCCACAAACTAGGGGCCTGTTGTGGACCCAGTAGGTGGAAGGGACTGTGGCAGGTGGTAGACACTGCAGAGTTTGGAGGAGACAGCAAACCAGGGGCAGACTGGGTGGATCTCGCCTTCCCAGGGTCAGGGACAAACATCGAGGGCTCCTCTTCCGCTGCCCCCAAAACTGTCTCCTGGTGCTGGCTGGCGAGAGGACTCAGGGAGACCCTTGATCGTGTCCTGGAAGTTGAGGCCCCACCACACTGAGTCCGCCCCTCTCTGGCTCTGGGCTGAACCTTTCCCCCACCCAGGAGACAGGGCCTGTTGGGGCGCCTTGCAGCAAATCAGTGGAGCCAAAATCTTAGGCCTGGGGACCACAAGGGCTGTGCCCCAGGGAGGGAGTGCCCCGGGGCCCCTTTGCTCTCTGGCATTCACGAGAATTTTAGCTTCATAGTTACTCAGGCGGTTAAGTCCATCCAGCTCTCTCAGCCTCAGGAGTCTTACCCTGTGGAATAGGAAGAACCATGCTGCCCTGTGTGGGCATGAGTCAAGGCCATGGCCACAGTATCCTATGGGCAGTGGAGCTCTGGGCCAGCCTTGGGTAGTGGCCGGTTCCTACTCTCTTTAGGGTGCCCTGGTCCTCTCTGCTGCGTGGCATGTTGCTGAGGGCCAAGAGACCCTCTGGATCATCCATTTATTCAGTAATCAATTATTAAGCACTTAACTAGGAGTCAGGCATGGTGCTAGGCCCTCGAGACAGCAGCGCCCAAGTCAGGTAAGGGCCCTGCACCCATGGAGTTTGCAGAACAATAAATAAGATCATTTCATAGTGAAGAGTCTGCTGAAGAACATGTATACATGACACTGAGACTGGGGACTGGTGGGTCGGAGGCTCTGAGGAGAGGGCTTTTTTTTTTTTTTTTTTTTAATTGATTTTAGAGGATGGAAGGGACAGAGAGAAAGAGAGAAAAACTTTGATTCGTTCCACTTTTATGTGCAGTCATTGGTTGCCGCTTGTAGGTACCCCGACCAGGGATGGAACCTGCAACCTTGGCATTGAAGCTCTAACCAACTGAGCTACCCAGTCAGGGTGGGAGGGCTTTTCAGTTGTTATTTGGAGGGGCTGGGAACAACATTCCACGCAGCAGCAGGAGCTGCAGGAAAGAGCTGTGTCCAAGGTCCCCGAGGTAGGACCAGGCTGCTGCATAAGGGACCTGGAAGAAGGCCAGGGTGGCGGTGAGATGGGGAGGCCCCTGAAATGAGCCTGGCAGAACTGCACCCCCAGGGCCTGGGCCGCAAGGGCCCGTGAGGTGGGCACTGTTATTCCAGGACTGGCCGGAGCCTCGGGCGGGCTGTCGGTGGGGAATGCTCGCTCTGGCAGTTGTGTGGGGCAGGGGCCGTCGCGGGGTGAGAGAGGCCACCTGGGGACGCCCGCTAGGAGCACGTTGTTGGAGTGTCCAGTTGAGGGACATGGCTGTCGGGCCTCAGGAGGATGGTGGGAGTGGAGCTAGAGAGAAGGGACCAAGATGTCCACCCACTGTCCCAGCTGTCCCAGCACAGGGCACTGGGAGACTCTGCTCCAGGAAGTCCCTCCCAGTTGCCATGGATGGGGGGGAGTGGTGGGTAGGGCTGGCTACAGGGAGGGAATGTGGCTTTGTGCTGGGAAAACAAAGAACAGAGCTGGGGGCCGTCTTCTCCTGGGGGTGGGGGCAGGCAAGAGGCTGCTGACCAGAGCAGAGGCTGAACCACAGGGCTGGGCTTGGCAGGAGCGGGCTGCGCGTCCAGGCACTGGGGAGGACCCCAGGGCCCCCCAAACTGGGCTTTGCAGGGGATGGTGAGGAAAGAAGACAGTGGGAGGGATGCTCAGAACCCTCCAGCCGGGCACTCCGGCCACTGGAGGGAACTGGGCTGTGAGGTTGGGAGGGGTGGGGCAGATGCATTTGGCAGTGAATGGGGTCTCGGGGAGGAGGGGCGCTGTGTGTGGAGGAACGAAGGGGGTTAACCGGACCTTTAGGACCCTCACATGCTTGAGGTGACCCAGCCACCCCGCCTCTGCCCCCAGCTGTGCCGCTGAGGCCCCGCCCTCCCCGCCTTGAGGTGGGGGCCCACCAGGATGAACAAGGCGTCCAGGGATCTGGCCTGTGACTTGGAGCGCAGCCTGCCGGCCGTGGCCTCCCTCAGCTCCTCGCTGTCCCACAAGCAGAGCCTCTCGTCACACTTCCTCCTGCCACCTCCCGAGAAGCGCCAGGCCATCTCCGATGTCCGCCGTACCTTCTGTCTCTTTGTCACCTTCGACCTGCTGTTCGTCTCCCTGCTCTGGATCATTGAGCTGAACGTGAGTGGGCTCAGGGAGGCCATGGGCCAAGCTGTATCGAGGGGGACACCTGGGCCTCAGTCACTCCATCTGCCACGTGGGAGGGTAACAGGAAGCCAGGGCAAAATGGCTCAGAGGGGTTGAGCCACTTGTCTCAGGTCTCTCAGCAGGGTTGGAGGCAGGCTATGAACCTGCTTCTGGATCCAGAGTTTACACTCGATTTCTGTGAAAGGGGGAGAGGCCCAACCAGCTCTGGCTGAACTGTTGAAATCCTTGTCTTCTTTCTGCCCTACATTGTTCTCTGGCTTCATTCATTCATTCAGCTGACATTTTTTTGAGCCACTACTATATCCCAGGTTCTGTGCTAAAAGCAGAGGGCACAGTGGAAAAACTTCCAGTTCTCAGTGTCCCCCAGCTCTCCCTGTCCGTTTTGGGCACTCCTCCAGTGGATGCGCCCCTCCCAGTGCGGCCTCAGGGGCTGGGGAGATGACCTGCCTCCAGCGCAGGGCTGGCAGCCCTCTCCCGTGCGGCACTGGGCCAGCTGGTGGTAGGGCTCCGTCTCCGGGTGCTGCCGGGGCAGAGTGGGACCTGACCACCAGGGCAGGAGCCAGGGGAGCAGGGCAGCCACACTCGGCGCCATCCCAGCCCCTCCTTTGCGTCAGCTGCGACCTCAGCAAGGGACTCGGCCTTTCCAAGCCTCCCTTCGTTTTCCTTCTATGAAGCGGGTCAGCGATCTGGAGGGCAGACGCCCTTCCTCCAGATCTCAAGCTCAGGTGACAGGAAAACGATGACTCTGTTGAAAGAAGCGAGGAGGTTAGAGGAGGGGCAGGCCTAGGGGTGAAGAGGTAAGTCTGATTCTGGACACGCTGAGCTGGAGGGCAGCTGGGGTCCCGCAGGCCACTGTCTTTTGTGCGCAGCAATGGGTCAGCACCTTCCTCGAGGTACAGAGAGCCACAGCCATGGGGGACTTCAGGGACCATCTCACCGATGAAAACGCTGGGGCCCGAGAGGTTCGGAGCAGTCCAGAGAGCTTCCAGAGTCTTAGGCTTCTTCCTTGGAAGGGTCCTAGCCAGCGTCAAAGGAAGCGCCCACTCTTACCAACATTGTTCATTCAGTGCGTATTTCCTTGCAGAAGAGAATTGAAAATATTTTGATAATTTTATTTTTGAAATTATCTGGCTGCGTTGGCTGTGATAACTCCGAAGTCACCCTGCATATTTGGGAATTCTTGCAAAGTGAGAAAACCTAACCTCCAAATTGTCTTTAGATGTAATGAAAATCTTCAGAATGTTGGACTTGGCACTTAGTAGAGATAATGTAATGTTTCACTTGGTAGACACTTAAAGTTGTATCAGCGTTCAGTTTCTGTAGCTTTATTTCCGTAGTTTGGAGCCCACATGGTTTTAGTTCTCTTGACAGCCTGGGCGTGGCCTGGTGGCTGCGAGGGCCCCCTCGGGTTGTAAGGCCTCGCCGCCGGTGCACTGGCAGCTCGGGGACTGGAGCCCGGCTGTGGTGAGTCCTGGCGCAGTCGCTGCAGGCAGGTGCCTGGGCAGAGGGCGAGTGCTCTGTGAAGAGGAGGGTGGAGGAAGGCCGTCAGGGACAGTGACTGGTAGGGGTGGGAGGAGCTGGGGTGCCCAAGAAGAAGTGTCTGAGGAGGGAGGGGTGGGCCTGCGTGGGGTTGGTGTCAGGCCAGGGTGGGGGGGCGCAGAACTTTGCGGGGCTCAGGATGGTCTTAAGGCTTAGGCACGTGGCTGGGATGTGCCGGGGGTCCTAGCATCAGTGGCCAGAGAGGGTGCAGCGGGGCGGGGGGGGGGGGGAGCCGTCCAGACTCCTAGCTCCCTGTCTCAGCATCAGAAGCACCAGGATGCTTTGTAAAGACGCCTGATGCTCAGCTTGCCCTAAGACTCATGAGACTCAGTGGTCTGAATATCTGTATCTTTAACCAGCCCCCCCCCACCTCTGATCATCTGCCAGAGATTATAAGCCCCAGTCTGGGTAGTTGTGAAGGGTCTTCCCCCTCAGGCTGTCGCCTTGCTGTCGGCCTCCACCCGGGTACCCTCTCTACCTAGCCAGGGTCTCCAGGGTCCCACTGAAAGTGCATGGGCCCTGGCAGAGCCCTGGCAGGGACAGGTCATGAAGAGCCTGCCTGCTCTCCTCGCCATCCTCTCCAGCAGCGTGATGGATTTTGCCCATTAAACACAAACCTAATCAATTGATTTGCCACCTGGGGCTCCGTCTGACACCACTGCCTACCCCGGGCCCTCATCACCCCAGATGGCTGGTTGACTGGGAAGATGGAGCACGGAAGTGTGGGGGGAGATGAGATTATGTGAGGCAGGCTCCCAGCACCCTGTCTGCCAGCCCTACCTGCTGGCGTAGGGCCCGGTCCCCGCCCTGCACGGCCCTGAGGCCCTGCCAGCGCGGCCCTGCCTGTGGTCATCGATGCTGGAGCCCTGCTTGCCTGGGCTGCTTGGATCCTGGGAGGGTGGTGTTGGTGCTGGGGTCCCAGGCCTCTGGCTGAACTCCCCTGGTGCCCCGAGACCCCCTTTGGGTGGTGGCTTAGCGTCCACAGCCTCTCTGCCAGGCCCCACCCTGCCTCTGCCTCCTCCCTGTTCCGGGAGGTGAGGGGCAGTCCAGGGACTGGGCTCTGCCTGTAGAGCCGATCGTATCCTCCTCTTCCAGACGAACACGGGTATTCGGAAGAACTTGGAGCAGGAGATCATCCACTACAACTTCAAAACTTCCTTCTTTGACATCTTTGTGAGTGACCGTGGGGTCCTGGGAGCAGAGGGAGCAGGACGTGACCCTGGCCAGACTGCCTTCGGCAGCACATGTCTCCACCTGGCCGGGCAGCCCTCGGTTTTGAAACAGGTTCCTAAGTGAGGTCCCACCAGCAGAGAGCCCCCAGTGGGAGGGGGGAGACAAAGCCCGGGTCCCAGATGGTCACATCCAAACCGTCCCCAAACTCAGCTGCTCTCTCTCGGGACAGGCACACCCGCATGGAGGGAGCCTGGGGTAGCAGGTCTGGAGGGGGAGGGGAGCCTTCCGCAGGGGTGGGGACCGTGGCTTGCCCGTGACAGCCTCCCCACCGCCCCCAGGCCCTGGCCTTCTTCCGCTTCTCTGGGCTGCTCCTGGGCTACGCGGTGCTGCGGCTCCAGCACTGGTGGGTGATTGCGGTAAGACGCCACGCGCCTGGCAGCCGGGGACCCTGGTGGGGCTGGTGCAAGGGGTCGGCTGTAGGAGGACTCACTCCCCAGCGTCTGTTTTCCCTTTCTCCTTCCTCCCTTCTCCTGGGCAGGTCACCACGCTGGTGTCCAGTGCCTTCCTCATTGTCAAGGTCATCCTCTCTGAGGTCAGTAGCTCAGGGACTGGGTGGTCCGGTGGGCATCTGGCCTGAGGGATGGGCTTCTCCTAAGAAGGGACCGTTGCTCTGATTCTGGGTGTCTGGGTTGGGGGAGGGGCATCCTCTCCTTTGATATTCCAAGTAGTCTTCTTCACTGGTTCCCCCTACGAGCCCCTCTGCGAGTCCAAGGACAGGACGTCCCTCCTCCAGCCTCACCTCAGTTTGTCCTGCCGCAGGACTCATTCATTCCTCTCAGCGGCGTGTGCTGCAGAGGGTCCTCGGGCTGCTAGTGCCTGAGCGGGGTCCATGCCAGAGTTGGTAGCCCCAGGCCGGGGCTCTGCTTTAGTTTGGGGTGCCCCCCTGCCGTGGAGCTCAGCCCCCTCTCTCCACAGCTGCTCAACAAAGGGGCATTTGGCTACTTGCTCCCCATCGTCTCCTTCGTCCTCGCCTGGTTGGAGACCTGGTTCCTTGACTTCAAAGTCCTGCCCCAGGAGGCCGAGGAGGAGCGATGTGAGTGTGTGTGTGGGGGGGGGGCAGGGGGCAGCGAGGGGCACCCCAGCCCGGAGGGAGGACGATTCTGGGCATGAGAGCCAGTTCTCAGCTGCCTTGCCAACCTGAGTAGCTTCCAGGAGCCCAAGAGTGAGCCGGGCGGGGGTGGGGGGGTGGGGGCGCCACAGGCTGCCTGACTGTCCTTGGTCTGGAACAACGGCTGCCCGTGTCTCCTCTCCCAGGGCGTCTTGCTGCCCAGGCCGCTGTCGCCCAAGGGCCCCTACTGTTCTCTGGAGCTCTGTCCGAGGGCCAGTTCTATTCACCCCCAGAATCCTTTGCAGGTGAGGGCTGGTGTTTGGGGGAAGTTCCTTCAGGGAGGGAGGGGCTTTGTGAGACGCAGGGTCTGTTCCCTCTGTTCCTTCCGCGGTCTCCCTGGGGAAAGCCAGCAGTCCCCGCACACACTCCTCTCCCCACGTCCCGCGTTTGTGTCGGACCCGTGACCTCCCCACGCTCTCCCCCCACCTCTTTCCACTGTCACCTCGTGTGTTCTCTGCAGGGTCTGACAATGAATCGGATGAAGAACTTGTTGGGAAGAAAAGCTTCTCTGCCCAGGTACTGGGCCGCCCGCCCCACCCTACCTTTGGAGCGGCCCCCCCCCCCCCGCAAGGGCCAGTGCTGAGAGGGTGGGCCCCAGCAGCTGGAATGCCTGTCAGTGCCATTTTGAGTGTCAGCCCCTGGTCTGCTGGGCCCACTGTCCTGCCTCTGGCCGGGGAACCTGTGCGGGGTCGCTGCAGCCGCAGCGCCCGGCTTCAGCGCCCCTGAGGGCACGACCGGGTGGGGCTTCCATGAGAGCTGTGCCGAGTGTCTAGAGAAAGGACAGCCAGGAGCACAGTGCGGTGCCAGCCCCGGGCCGACCCCTCACTGCCTCCGTCCCCGGCCAGGAGCGGGAGTATATCCGCCAGGGGAGGGAGGCCATGGCCGTGGTGGACCAGATCTTGGCCCAGGAGGAGAACTGGAAATTCGAGAAGAATAATGTAAGAAACCTCTCTCTCACCTGACCCGCCCACGTGTGTTGGGAGTTTTGACTCCTTTTCTGAGGCCAGAGAAATAAGCCTGAGGATTACAGGGCTTGGAACCATATCCCTGCCCCAGGAGAGGGGGCTGGGCCCTGGGGGAGGCCTCTCGGCAGGAGGTCAGGCTGGACTGGATCTTTCCACGGCCCCTCCTCCTTGCTCCCCCCCAGCCCCCACCACCCTCATCTCCCTGCTGCTCTGCTTCCTAGGCTTTGCTTTGAAGGGAAAGCCAGGCATCTACCCTGTGTTTGGTGTTTCGTTTCATTAAGATCAAAACAACATTATCTGAAAAGATGGCAGAGAGCTCGGAAAACAGGGAACCGTTCCCGGCCCTTTCTCTGGCCAGTTCCCCCGACAGCCCTTGTCGGCCTGCAGACACGGCCCTTCGTGGTTGTAGCCACAGCTGCGCGCCTCTGTACTTTAACTTGATAGCAAAAGCCTTTCTCTCCTGGTTGTTGGACATTTGTCAGAACCAGTGTTTTTAACAGCTGCTCCAGTGCCCCCAGACTCCTTCATTTTTCTGCCCCGAGCTGTTTAAAAACCTAAAGTACCTGTGACCCATTCCTGAGCTACCAGCCCACGCCCCATGCCCTCCCCCCCGCCCACCTCCCTGCCACCCTCTGTCCCTCCCACAGGAATATGGGGACACTGTGTATACCATTGAGGTTCCCTTTCACGGCAAGACATTCATCCTGAAGGTGAGTGAGGGGAGTGGGTGTCCTGGAGCCTCCTGCCCCATCTGGGACTTAACATAGGGGCCGAGGGGTCCTCTGTCAGGATTCTCCCCGCCAAGAGGGACAGGCGGTGGGCCGGAGCACAGTGGGCCCCCCAGCGCTCTGCCTGCCCTGCCCCAGGCCTTCCTGCCGTGTCCTGCGGAGCTGGTGTACCAGGAAGTGATCCTGCAGCCCGAGAGGATGGTGCTGTGGAACAAGACAGTGACCGCCTGCCAGGTGAGCCTAGCCAGGGGACCGGGCCATCTCTCAGGACAGAGACCGAGTGACGTGGCAGGTCAGGGCAGTGATGCCCTAGCATGACCACTTACCCCAGGGGACCTGAGTCACATCACTGAGGTCTTCTGTGCCTCAGGTTCCCCATCTGTAAAATGGGGTGACGGCACCAGTGTCTCCCAGAGGGGTAGGGAAAATGGACAGGGCACCTGGCTGGGGCCCCACGAATGGGAGTGGCTGTTAGTGAAGGGACCCGAGCATAGCGCAGGCTGGGCTGCGGGTTTCCCGGGGGCTCGGTTCTCCCGGGGTAGGCTGCGCTCACGTCTGCGCTAACGGCCCGCAGATCCTGCATCGGGTGGAAGACAACACCCTCGTTTCCTACGATGTGTCTGCAGGGGCTGCGGGCGGTGTGGTCTCCCCACGGTGAGTAGCACCGTACCCTTCTCTCAGGCAGCCTTCCTGCCCCCTCGTCTTGGGCCTGGCACCCCCTGGACCTAACCCTCCCCCCTCCCAGGGACTTTGTGAATGTCCGGCGCATCGAGCGACGCAAAGACAAATACCTGTCATCGGGCATCGCCACCACCCACTGTGCCAAGCCCCCAACGCACAAATACGTCAGGTGAGCCTGGCCTTGCCCAGGGTCATCCCAGCCAGCCCTTCCCCAGGTGGTGCTGAGGACAGGGCAGGGTACAGTATGTGCAGCTGAGGCCCTTCTCCTGCTGAGGCCACCTTCCTGTCCCCTGTCCCACTGGGCTTTGCCCTTCCCGCCCCCTAATCCTGCTAATCGGCTGCTCTGTGTGCCGAAGGCTGGGGGAATAATGTCTGGACCCATGCCACCCACTCTGGAGGGCAGCCCCAGGGGTAGACTGGGGGTAGAGCCAGCCCCCAGTGACCCGATCAGGAGACTCGAGTCCCTTGCCCCTCCTCCCCCCGCCCTGTCCCGCTACCTTGCCTTTCTCCTGGAGCGCTCGAAAGTCCTGCCAGAGGAAGAGGAATTATATTCTTCCTGCCGCCTTTTCCAGGCTCCCTGCCGTTCTCCATCTGTCTGATCCTAGGCTTCAGTGCCGCAGGCGGCCTCCTCCCAGATACCCCGCCCTTTCCCTTCCTTCCTGGGGTTTGCAGAGAGCTCTGTTCTTTGGGTATCAGGCTGGGGTTCTGGTCTCGGCACCATCACACTTGCTGGGTGACAGACAAGCTCATTTCTGCTCCAGGTGCCAACTTCCTTATCTACAGAGTGGGCTTCAGAATGCCCAGCGAAGTTGTGGGCAGTTAAATGAGTCAGGATGTGAACCACACAGCCTCCCGAAAGCTCCCGAGAGGCCGCCCCCTCCTGGAGGCCGCCAGCACTGCACTGCCCCCTGAGCTGGGCAGGCGGGAGAAGTGCCTGCCGGCCCTGCCCCTCTCAGCTGGAGTTGACCTAGACTCTCTGGACAGAGGAGTTGAGGGCTGGGAGGGTGGTGAGCCCCGGGTGTGTGTGCAAGTGCTGCACAGGTGTCAACTCCCCAGGGAGTATTTGAGCCTCCGTGGTGGGGGTGGGGGTGCGGGTGCAAACTGCAGCCACAGGCCCTGCTCAGGCAGGGGGCAGTCACTAGACCAGTAGCTCCCTTCTCTTTCCCACCATATCCAAGATGGACCAGGAGTGCGGGGCGGGGGGGGGGGGGGCGCGAGTCAGGCTCCAGCGTCACTCCAGCGGTGCCCCTCTCTCTGCAGGGGAGAGAACGGTCCTGGGGGCTTCATAGTGCTCAAGTCAGCCAGTAGCCCCCGCGTCTGCACCTTCATCTGGATCCTTAATACAGATCTCAAGGTGAGGGTGCTGAGGCCGCAGGGCAGGCTCGGGGTGGTGTTGGGGGCCCCCACCCTGTGCAGAGCCTCCCCTACTCTCCACCTCCTTTCTCGCCCTCAAATTTGGGGCAGGATCCACATGGTCTTGGTGCCCTCAGTTACCAGAGGGCTTGTGCCTCTCCTTTCATACCTCTGATGCCTGAGGCCCTGAGGAGGGGCAGCCAGCTGCCAGCCCAGCCCCTCCCGGGTCTGTTTGTGTGGCCGATGCCAAGGCCTGGGCACAGCATGTTCCTTCTGCCAGAGGTGGGGGAGAGGGTGTCCCCGGCTGCACTGCAGAGCTGCACCTGCACCGTGGCCCGGTGTGCTCCCGTCGGGCACCCCTTGTTGAGGGAGGAGCCCCTGCTGAGGGCAAGCCCTCCTGGAGCTAACTGCCGCCTCCCCCAGGGCCGCCTGCCCCGGTACCTCATCCACCAGAGCCTCGCGGCCACCATGTTCGAGTTTGCCTTCCACCTTCGGCAGCGCGTCGGAGAAATGGGAGCCCGAGCATGAAGATGCCCCCTCGCCACCCTGCAGGCCAGGGTTCTGGTGCCACAGCCACCAGAGCCAGAGGAGGGGGGGGGCTGCCCACAGAGGACCTGCCTCCCGCAGCAGGAGGAAGAAGTTTCCCCCCACGGCAGCCCCCTGGCCGCAGGCTGCCAGGCTGCACTGTGTCCGGAGCGACGGCCCTGAGCAGGTTGTGGGCTCTGCTGCTGGGGCAAGTGGGGTCCGCCCTGCGTGTGTGCAGCGCGTCCCCGCCTCCTGGGAGAGGAGACCCGCTGGCCCCTGCTGAGCCAGGGGCGGGGTCTGGAACTCGAACCTCAGACTTGATGAGGGAGGCCAGGGCCCTGGGCAGGACAGAGGCCAGACAGCCTGTCACCGGTGTTCCGGTGCAGGAGCCCCTTCGTTTGCCTGCTCACTGGTCATGGTTTTTGGGGATTATTTAAAGGGTCTGGGACCGTTGTCCACGTGTACTTGTCGGGGAGCGGGCGGCAGGTGGGCATGGAGGATGCTGGCCGCGAACCTCTGCCTCTCCCAGCTTCTCTGCCTCCCCTTGGGGCCTCCTTGGGCACTTTTGTAATTTGAGCCAATTAATAACATGAACTCAAAAGAAAAAAAGCAACTCCTCCAGCCTGGCCTCTTGAGGGAAGGAGCCGGAGCATCTCACAGGTGGGGCAGGAGTGAGCCACCACCCTCCACCGAGGCCAAGTACCTGACCTGTCCTCACACCCCAGAGCCAGTGGGGACTCGGTTCCTGCCCCCACCCACCCTCCCAGCACACACACACTTTCCTGAATGGTTCCACCGGGCAGATGACTGGTTAGAGAGAAATGCTCCACCCTGCACCCGGCTTCTTGTGAGGGAGGGCCAGGTCAAGGTCTCCGGGCCAGGATCTGGGAGGAGGTAGGGGAGACCCAGCAGAGCCCACAGCAGGCCTGGGCTGTTCCTGGGGTGCCGGGTCCGACCCGGGGCCTGAAGGTGGGGTCTCAGCTTCCTGGTCACTGAGGCTTCCCGGGGATCTGCCCCACGCACATAGCCCCGCTGCCCTGCCGCGCTCACTGGGGGCAGCATGGAGTCTGGCGAGGCCAGGGCTCCCAGAGGAGCCGGCTTGCCTGGGTTGGGGGATGCATCGTGCTCCTGGCTGGCCTGTGACCCTGGGCAAATCTGTGTCTCAGCCCCCAATTCTTAACTTTTTGTGAAAATGGGACTCATTATGTCACAGGGCTGTTACAAGGTTAAAAGGTAATCAAGACTCAGGTGTAGAGCCTTAGTACTCAAGAGTGTGCAGTTCTGCCCCAGGCGGGTGCCAGCTGTCTCCACAAGGTCCCCATCTCAGCCCCTGTCACTGCCTCTCCTGGCGCCCTTTGCTTCTCCACTCAGCATTTCACATTCCTTCTCCCCTCTGCCCACCTCACTGTGTCAGCTTCTTGCACCAAAATTGCTGCTCTTAGGTGCTGGGCTGTCCCGGCAGCCGCCCTGCTCCCCGTGTACCAGGGCCAGGCCCCGCCCAGGCCAGTCGGAGCTGCCGGGCCCCAGAGCTCTGGTCAGGCCATCATGACCGGAAAGTGGGGAAATGAAGCCCATGCCTACTTCACAGCTGGTATGGGCCAGGGCCAGATCTGCTGCTGACTGTCACTCATCAGAGCCCCCAGGTTGTCACCTCACCCCACTTGGGGTGTCGGGAGCAGAGCTGGAGGCCACTCCCACACGTACTGGCTGGACTCGGAAGACCACTTCTCTGACCACTGGCCCCAGGGAAGGGAACAGCCAACAAAGGTCCGCACCGGGCTCCCAGGTGTGGGATGAAGTCCAGGATCCCTGCTTGAGTGGGGGTGGCCATGGAGAGCCAGGCCTTTCTATGCAAGTACCTGAGAATGTTGTGCTGTCCCTTCCTGCAGAGGGGACAGTCCAGGGGTGTGCCCTTGAATCCGGGCAGAGGAGAGCAGTGGGATGGGGGGAACTGACCGCCTGGTGCAGAGCCCAGAGGGGCCTCAGATCCTACACTTCCCTGCTCGGTTTACAGACAAGCCACTGTCCTCCCTGGGGGCTGGGCGGGGGGGACGGAGAACAGGTGGCAGGGTGGCAGGAGGCTGGGCATGTGCCTGGTCTCGGACAGTGTCTGAGGAGTGTCAGATGCTCGGAGGTGTCGCTCTGAAGCCCCCAGCCCCCAGCAGAGGGTCTGGATCTCTTCAGAAGCTGGCCACCTACTCGGGGCCGGCAGGAGTCCAGGTATCCCAGCCCCCACCCTGGGCCCAAAGGCCCCCATCAGAGCCTTGGCCCTGCTTATAGCATCTGACGCCAGAGGGGCTGAAAATAGCCCCTGGGGGAGGGGGTGGGGGCTATTTAAAGGGCTCCAGGAGGAGCAAGCGCCGAGGGAGCGAGGCTGACCATGGCCACTTCAGAGCTGAGCTGCCAGGTGTCTGAGGAGAACCGTGAGCGCCGAGAGGCCTTCTGGGCCGAGTGGAAGGATCTGACGCTGTCCACGAGGCCCGAGGAGGGGTGAGTGTGGCCAGCCGGGGGGCGCTGCTCCCCTCCTTTACAGCACCCTCCCTGAGCCTGGGGAGGCCAGAGCACAAGGTTTCTGGGAGTGGGGGGGTGAGGCGGGGTCACCCCTCCTGCACCCGGGGGGTCCCCTGCCTAGCCAGTGACCTGAGGGCAGCGGCTCTCAGGAGCTCAGTGTCCCCTCCCCTGTCCCCCCAGTTGCTCCCTGCATGAGGAGGATGCCTGGCGGCATGAGACCTACCACCAGCAGGGGCAGTGCCAGGCGCTGGTGCAGCGCTCCCCCTGGCTGCTGATGCGCATGGGCATCCTGGGCCGAGGGCTGCAGGAGTACCTGCTGCCTTACCAGAGGGTGCTGCCGCTGCCCATCTTCACCCCCACGAAGGTGGGCGCCGCCAAGGAAGAGCGCGAGGATACCCCCGTCCAGCTGCGGGAGCTGCTGGCGCTGGAGACAGCCCTGGGCGGCCAGTGTGTGGAACGCCAGGACGTGGCGGAGATCACCAAGCAGCTGCCCCCTGTGGTGTCAGTCAGCAAGCCTGGCACCCTTCGTCGTACTCTGTCCCGCTCCATGTCGCAGGAAGCACAGAGAGGCTGAGAGGGACGGACTCGGGCTCCACTGTGCCCACGCCGGGCCGGGCCCTTCCTGGCTAGGACCATGCAGGGGAGCTGCTGGCCCTGGATGCTTTGTAGTTTGCCCAGAGTTGGGGGCTAGGCACAGAGGGAGCCGGAGGCCAGGATGCCTGGGTCCCCCGAGTTCCTAAAGGAAGAGGAGCGGAGACAGTGGGCACTAAGTGTGGAGAGCTAGGGGCCAGCACTGCTGAACACCCCCAGCCTGTGGAGAAGGGTCAGAGGGTGCTGGTGAGAGAGAGGTGCCTGAGAGGGGTGACGCAGCTTGGAGGAGGCCAAGAGAAGGTGTCAGGAGGTCTGGATGCTTTGGGAAGAGGGAGGGGAACATGCAGAGGCAGGTGGGGCCCCCAGCACCCTGTTAGCGCTGCAATAAATGCTCAATGGCCTTCCGGTTTCCTGTCTCCTTGTGGTTGGGGGGGGGCCTGTGCACTGGGGTCACCCCCTCCCTGTGCCTGCTTCTGGGAACAGGCCCTGCTTCTGGGTTAAATATGGCAGAGCAAGTGGGCGCACTCCACGTTTGGGGGGAACAGAGCTGCAAACAGGGCGGTCTGTCCAGTTCCCCTTGGGCAGCCTGACTCAGCGTGCAGGCCTGCCCTCCGGGCCCAGGCCCCTGGCGCTGGGCAGTGCCCAGGAGGCCAGCTGGCGCCCAGGGTTTGTTTAGATGGTCCCTGGGAGAACATGGAGGGAGCTGGCGCTAAGACTGTCCTTGGCGGTGCCTCTGTGTGCGATGGGGTGGGTGACCCCAGGGCCGACCTGCCTCTCAGGTCCAAATCCAGACAAAAGCCTTCCTTGGCTGCTGCAGGTGCCCCACCCTTCCCTCCCCCGGAGCAGAGGGTGGGTCCCCAGGGTGGGGCGGGGGCCAGGTTCCTGTCCGTGACCCCTGCAGCTGTCATGGTGACTCAGGTCCCAACCTGGCTGCCTAGCCCGACAGGGAGACACTTAGGACAAGGTGGGTGGGTGGCGGGCAGAGGTGCCGGGGCCCATCTCGGCGGGGGACCCGTAGCACGAGAGCCCCAAACCAGGGAGCCGCATGAATGTTCACGAGGTTCCGACAAAAACCTCCCAGAGGACCAGCAGACGGGGCCCTGCCCTTTATCGCTCGCGTTCCGGGCGGGGTGGGGGGGACCCACGGCCAAGTCAGTGCGGGGGAGCGTGCGCCCGCCCCAGTCCCAGGCCTCGCCGTCCGGAGGGTCCCAGACAAAGGCAGCAGCGGTCCAGGGCGCACGAACCCGCGCCGGCCCGAGGCTCCGTGACATCAGTGCGCACCGCGTAGAAGGAAAAGGTCGCGAAGCAGTCACGGGGCCCGCAGCAGCTCCCGAAGGGAGATAAGGAGGGAGCTCCCGTCAGCCGATTCCCAAAACAACTCGCATTCCTTCTGGCCGCGCGGCCAGCCCCCGTCACGGGGGTGGGGGCGGGAGAGCCGCGCCGACCCGCAGTAGCCTGCCCGGGGCGCAGGGGCACTGGGCTGACCCGAGGGGTCCCACTCGGGAGGACCAAAGAACCCGCCCTGCAACACCCCCTCCCGCTGGGAGGAGGGGCGGGGACGTGGCATCTCCACAGCCCGGGATCTGGAAGCCAAGCCGGACCCGCAGGCCCGGCCCGCGCCCCGCCCCCAGGGGGCTGAAGTGGGGTCAGAAACCCAAGGCCGCTCGGCCCCCAAGTCCCTGGGCGCCCGAAAACTGAGGCCGCAACCCCTCGGGCCCTGGCAGCCGGGAGGATGGCCCTGCGTTCTCCGGTCCTCACCTGGGACCCGTGTCCCCGACGTGGCCGGGAAGTCCCCAGCCTTCCGCCCCCGCGGGCCCCAGATAAGCGCCTGGAAGCCCTCAGGGCGGGCAGGGAAGGTCCCGCTGTCCACCCACTAAGTGCATTAGCCCCGCGCACGTTCCCTATCGTCGCAGCCATCGGACGGGTGTGGCGAGATCCGCTCTGGAGCCTCAGGGCGAAAGTGGCCAGAACGCGCTGTCCTCTCCGCAGCGGGGCGGGCGGGGGGCGCTGGGAGACGCAAGCGGGGCAGGAGAGCACGAGAAAAGAAGCTCGGGGAGGGCGGAGAAGGGGCGTCGGGGGGACCCCACTGAGGGAAGGGGTGGATGCTGGACAGCGTGTCCCGGAGAAGAGGAGCCGGGCGTGGGCGCCGGGCCGTGGGCACCGGGAACGGACGGTGCTGGTTCGAACCCGGGCACAGAGAAGGGACGGCAGGCGGGCGACAGGGGCGCACGGCCGCGGGAGCTGGAGCAGAACCGTGCGGGGGCCGCGGGCTGGCGGGGTCGGGGATCTAAGGGCTGTGCGGGCCGGAGGCTCAGGTGCAGGACCTGGAACGGGCGGCGAGAGGCACAGGCTGGAGGGGGCAGCAGGAGCAAAGGCGAGCGGGGGTGGGGGCGGATGTTCCAGCGGCGGCCGCCGCCCACACCCCGTGCGTCGCGGCGGGGACGGTGAAGCAGATGGATGGGGCGGGGGCCACGCGGCGCGCGTGGCCCGGGGCGGCTCTGCGCCGAGGCGCCGCCCCCGCAGCGGAGGAGCCGGGGGCGGGGGTCCAGCCGCAGATAAACGGGCGGGGAGGCCGGCGGGGCACAGGCTGGGTAGCGGCGGCGTCATGAGCACCTGGGGCCCGAGTCCCGCGGCGGCGGCGGCCCAGGACGCGCACCCGGACCTGGCGGCGATCGCCTCGGCCTACCAGCGGTTCGAGCCCCGCGCCTACCTGCTCAACAACTACGCGCCCCCGCGGGGGGACCTGAGCGACCCTGACGGCGTCGGGCCTTGGAAGCTGCGCTGCCTGGCGCAGACCTTCGCCACCGGTGAGTGCGGGGAAACTGAGGCACAGGCGACAAGAAGTCATCGGGGAGCCGAAGGGGCGCATGAGGAAGCCAGACGGGGACCGAGGAGCAGGTGGTTAAGAGGTAGAACTGGAGGCCGGAGAGGCGCCATGTCCCTCCGACGAGGGGAGAAGGAGAGAGACCCGCGGACGGGGCTGGGAGGGGCGGGCGCTCGGAACCGGGGGCCCGGAGCGCAGGGCTGGAATCCAGAGAGACGCGGAGGAGGAACCGCTGGCGGGGATCGGAGATGCGGGGCTGGGCGAGGCAGCTGGGGCTCCCCGACGTGGCCCTCACGGGCGGGCGGTTTTACGGGAAGTGGGACCTGGGTCTCAAAGGGTTACATTCCTTTCCCGAGGTGTTTGCAGATGTTGAAACCGGGACTCCAGACCCAGTGCTTTTCCAGACGGAGACGCGGGGGGTGGGGTGGGGGGGGGTGATGGAGGCCAGGGGCCGCCGGGACAGGCCTGGCACTGGGGCCCTCCTCTCTGCCCGGCCCAGGAGAGGTGTCTGGACGCAGCCTCATCGACATCGGCTCAGGCCCCACCGTATACCAGCTGCTCAGCGCCTGCGCCCACTTCGAGGACATCACCATGACCGACTTCCTGGAGGTGAACCGCCAGGAGCTGGGGCTCTGGCTGCGGGGAGAGCCTGGGAGTTTCGACTGGAGCGTGTACAGCCGGCACGTCTGCCTCATTGAGGGCAAGGGGTACGGCTAGGGGGTGAGGGCCTGGCGGGGGTCTTCCCGTGCTGTGGCTGATGGGGGAGGCAGCAGGGGACTGAGCCTGGGGCAGTCTGAGCCCTGGCCCCGACGCCCCTTCTGTCGCTGCACAGTGAGTCCTGGCAGGAGAAGGAGAACCAGCTGCGAGCCAAGGTGAAGCGGGTCCTGCCCATCGACGTCCACCAGCCCCAGCCCCTGGGCGTTGGGGGCCTGGCGCCCCTGCCCGCCGATGCCCTGGTCTCTACCTTCTGCCTGGAGGCAGTGAGCCCTGACTTTGCCAGCTTCCAGCGGGCTCTGGACCACATCACCACACTGCTGAGGCCTGGGGGGCACCTCCTCCTCATCGGGGCCCTGGAGGAGTCGTGGTACCTGGCCGGAGAGGCCAGGCTGCTGGTGGTGCCCGTGCATGAGGAGGAGGTGAGGAAGGCCCTGGTGTGCAGCGGCTATGAGGTGCGGGACCTGCGCACCTACACCATGCCCGCCCGACTCCGAACGGGCGTGGATGACGTCAGAGGCATCTTCTTTGCCTGGGCTCAGAAGAAGGTCGGGGTGTGAGGCCCTCGGCCGCCCAGATTCTCTGTGACCCGAGGTGGTGTCTAATAAAGAAATGTCGCAGCTGCTGCGTGTCTGTGCTGTCTAGGGCTCTACTGGGAAGCAACAAGGGCCCAGAGCTCTCCCTGGTGTTGCAGGGGTGCGGGAGGCACCAACCCTAGCGCCCCCTTTTTTTCCAGAAGCTTCCTTGAAGATAGGTTTCTGTATGAGTCCTTTTCTCCAAACTAAGGACGCCCAAATCAGAGAGACGTCAGTTAGCACCTGCTGTGGGCCAGGCACCTACTAGGTCCACCTGTCCGAATACTCAGCAGCAGGTCCTGTTTTCCTGTTTGCAGGTGAAGCTCAGAAAGGTTCAGAGTGGTGGGGGCCGGGGCTGGTGAGGAACGCTGAGGTGGAAATGGCAGGGGCGGGGCTACAGTCCAGGCTCAAAGGGAGTTCTGGGCAGTGAGGGAGGAAGAACAAGAACCACCTCCCCCCAAACTGGACTGGAGCTGCGCCCAGCTCTGTTGTGGCTCCGTATCTGGTCCTTGCCCCCCCCCACACACACCTACGGAGAGATCCCCGCCTGTCTGCCCTTCCCAGCGTCCCCCAGCCCCCCTTACTCACACAAATGAGATGTGCACGAGGGTAGGTGATGCTGAAAACTGGTTTATTAAGAATGTCCTTTGCTACCCTCCAACCTTAAAATAGTTCTCAGGATCAAAACGGATTAACATGGGCCACCCCAGTCCCTGCCACTGGAATCCTAGCATAGTGTCCCTGCTCTCAGCGAGGGACGAGGTGGCAGGGAAAGGAGCGAGAAGTCTGACCAACCCCCTGCCCCAAGCAGAGGCTGCCTTTGGATGGAGTTTCCAGAGCTCCATATTCTGTCCTTGTGTGGCAGGAATGGGCAGAGACTGCCAGTAGTGAGCAGAGGTCACCTTTACTGGGGTGCGGGCACAGCGTGGCCCCTGCCAGCTACAGCTGTTTCCCCTCCTCTCTCAGGCTCCCTGTCCCCTCCCCAAGGTCCAGGCTGGGCACTGGGGGCGGGGAGGAGACAGGGAGACTGGAGGGGCCAGAGGATCCCCACTTCTTTCCTCCTTCTGCCTCCCCGAGGGCTGGCTCTGGAGGGTGATCTTGAGTTGTGTGTGGGGGCCCTGTGTGGTTTGGAAGGGGGGGGACAACAGACAAGCACACAGACACGCATCCAGCCCAGACGCCCAGATCCCCAGCCAGATGTCGGGGGCATCCTGGCTCCTGCCTGCCCGGGGTTCTGTGCAGCGTTGGTGCTCAGTATCCAGTTGTTGACAGTGACTTGATTCCCTTATCCTGCTCCGACCTCCTCTCACAGTGGGGCACACTCACCTGCACTCACACTCATCTCATACTTACCCTACGTATATTCCCCTAACCCCCACTAAGCGTCTGCCCCCCGCCCCCGCATGCACTTTAACAACACTCACACTCTCCCCCCACGCTCCACACCACACCAGGCCAGGGCTCACTCGCTCTGTCTCACTCAGCACCCCACACGCCCCTGGCCTGTGCCCACCACCACGTCTCCTGCAAACTCAGTCTGGCCCACACCCCCTCACACATTGTGTGCAGGCTCCCAGCTAGGTTCTGGCCCCAAAGGGGGAGTGTGTGAGGCTTTCCTGGGGGTCTGGTCACAGCACCAGTCAGGGTGACACTGCTCCGCAATCCCAACAGCTTGGTCCCTTCAGATCCCATGGGAGGAATGAGATCTGCCTTAAAACAGGGCAGCCAAGGAGCAAGAGTCTAGTGCCACCTAGTGGTCCCTGGAGGAGGGCATGGGGTTAACAGGAGGGACCCCACTATACCCAGGAAGGCCTGGTACTTGGTCGGTCTCCCAGCTACATGGAGGGCTCTGGCAACCACCCAGGCAGTGGGTGGGGGGCGGGTGAGGAGGTGACTGACAGAGAAGAGGGGGCAGTGATCCTCTCTGTGGACCTAACACAGCTCCAGCCCAGTTCAGTCCAGGAGCCAGAGGGACTGCCCATCCTCTAGCCCCAGAACCCCAGAGGCCAGGCCCGAACAGATGCAAGGCCTGTGAGGGCCACGTGGGGGTGAGCAAGGTGGTGGGCAAAGTACATGATTCTGGGCCCACACCTGTTGTGTCTAAGTTCAGAAAATAAATCCTCTCGAGGACTGAGGAGAAGAGGAGCCTGCAGGGAGGGTGCAGAATCGCCAGCAGGGCAGACCCACTGCCAGGGCCTTCAGTCCAACTTGAATATGGCCTTTGACTGCTTCAGCAGATACAAGCTGTCCTCTTCCAGGAAGCTGCAAGTGAAAAAGAAGCGGGCTGAAGCCTAGCTGTGAGCGCGCCCCCTGGTGGCAGGGTGGGGTGAGTGCAGGCGAGCCGGCAGCGGGCGGGACAGCGGAGAGCGCAGTCTCCCCTATAGATGGGTTGAGGAAGGGCACAAGGAAGGTGAGCCCTGGGCAGGGAGTAGCACCCACCTGAAAAAGAGGACGTGGACGGGGATGGTGCTGATGTGCCAGATGGCGTGGGCATCCAGGACCCAGAAGAGAGGCGGGAAGTCCAGCAGTTCGAGCAGGGACAGCCCCTGCAGCAGCAGGACCACCACCATGCACTTGCGCACGTGAGGCAGCCGCTGCTGGTTCCACAGGCACCAGGCCAGCCACCACACCAAGTTCACCAGGCCTGGGTGGGCGGGGCGGGGCGGGGCGAGCTCACTCCCTGCCCCTCCGTCTCCCCCACCCCACCCTGCCCCTATGCCCAGGCTCTTTGACCCCTGGGCCACCTCAGACTTCCCCTCCAGCCTCCCCCCACCTCCTACCCCAAATCTTTCCCTTTCCCCACCCAAGGACCTTTCCAGAACCTCCTTCTCCAGAAACAGCACCAACAGCCTCCCACCTCCACCCCAAACCAGCGGCTCTTCAGCTATTCCAGCCCGCCGGGATCCCGGTCCTGCCTCACCAATTGCCACATTGGCAGCCAGGTTGTAGCCATAGTCAAAGCGGACGAGGCCCAGGTAGGAGACATGCGCGGTCAGCAGGAGCAGCAGGAGAGCCCCGAAGGCACTGGCCACAGCCGGGTGCTGCAGCCCCACAGTCCTGCCCGGCCGTGCAGAGCTGCTCAGGTTGGGGTGGCCCATCCCCAACAGCATCCCCTGGGGCACCCCCTCACCCAGACATCAGTGCTTGGAGGCCACTGCCCTCTCCCCCCCCACAACGGGCGGCTGGGCAGGCCTCCAACCCCACCCCCTCCACCTCAGGCCTGGGGTCAAGCACTACAGCTCCTTGGGAAGAACCAGGGCCCCAAGTTCTACCCCAGGTGGCTGGGCAACCCCTTTCTGCCCCGGGGCTGACTGGGCCCCTGCAGCCGCCGAGGCTGCTCACCTGACGCAGCACAGGTAGACGGAGTGTAGGATGACGGTGGAAGCACAGAAGTAGTCCATTTTCTGAGGACAGGGAGAGTCGGATGAGGGGCCAGCGAGAGGGCAGCAGGAGGTGGGCGAGCATTCGTGGGGGGCAGGACCCAGAGAGGACCCACCAGGGACGGGGACCCGCTGGGGATGAGGGGCTGGGCAGAGGCTCAGCCCGAGTCCGAGGCCTGTGGTCAGTGGGATCGGTGTCTCCTGCTTCTTCTGCCTATTGCTGTTTCGCTTCTAAATTTAACGGGCTGAACCCTGTATTCACATAACACAGTTTTTTACAAACTGTGCCCAAGGAGCGAAGCGTTCGAGTGATGGGGAGGACGCCTGCCAAGAGTCCTGTGCACCCAAACCTGCCCCAGAGCTCAGAGCGCAGCCTGGAGCCCCGCGGCTGTGGCTCCGGTCCTGACCCCGCCCCTTCCGTGGCTGCGGGAGCCTGAGCAAGTGATTTCACCTTCCCAGGGCTCAGCGGCCTCATCTGTTAGGAGAGCCAACCGCCCTGGCAGGTACCTCCCCTGGTTCCAATACACCACAGCTGCGGGTTTGATCCCTGGTCAAGGCATGTACAAAAAACAACCAATGAATGTAGAAGTGGGACAACAAATAGGTCTTTCTATCTCACCCCTCTCTAAAATCAATTTAAAAATTAAAATAAAATCTTAAGAAAAAGAAAGCTCTGGCTGGTGTGGCTCAGTTGGCTGGAGTCCCGCTCCGTGGACCAAAAGGTTTCAGATTCGATTCCGGTCGGGGTGCACACCCAGGCTGTGGGCTCTCTCCCCTGTTGGGGTGCGTGTGAGAAGGCAACCAAGTAATGTTTCTCTCGCATCTAAGTTTCAGTCTCTCTCTCTCTTCCCGCCCCCTACACCACCCTTCCTCTCTTTAAAAGCAATGAAAAATGTCCTTGGATGAGGATTAAAAAAAGAAGAAGAGCCAATAACCACCACACCCACCTCACAAGGGTGAGGCGAGGCTCAAGGGCACTAACAGGGTCACAAGGCCCAGAGCAGAGTGGGTGCTCCCGGACGGGGTCAGCAGGGGACCCGAGAGCAGGCTCCGCCCCTCCCCTCTGCGGGGCCGGGCGCTGGGGGGGCGGGGCGCGCTCACCTCGGTGAGGTCCGTGTCCCTGGTGTGGAAGACCGTGGACCAGAACCAAGCATTGAGGGAGACCTGAGGAGGAAGGCAGCTGGTGAGTGAGGCGCCCCAAGGCGAGAAAGACCCCCCCAGAGGCCTCACACCTGCTCACTTTTGGGAAGGGGCAGAGAAACGAGCTTCCCCTCCCTCCTGGAGCCCACTAAACAAACCCGTGTGTGCCACCCCCACCTGGCCCAGCTCCCTCAGGCCCAACTTCCCACTCCCCACCCCCAAGGGGGTGGGGGTCTTAAAGCCGCCACAGGTTTCTGGCCTGGGAACCAGTTCTGGCAAAGTGGAGCTCTCCCAGGTTACTCAACCCTAAGACAACAGCCCCTGGGGGGCCTCGCCTCCTTCCCCAACTGGCAGGTGAGGACAGCTCCACCCGGCCAGGGGAGCCAGTGACCTCAGCCTCTGGGGGCGGGAATGAAGTGGGTGGGGTGGAGGGGCTCGAGCCAGCTTGGGGTGTGTCTAGAGCAAGCAAGAGAGGGAGTTGAAGCAGATCCCACGGGGGCCAAGTCTCAGAGGAGGAGGAGGCTTGCCAGCCGAGCCCTGCTTCCTCCTGGCTGGGCCGGCCCAACCCGCTGGGCCAGTGGCTGCTACGTGGAGCAGGGCTGGAGGGGGCTGTGGTGGGCACGAACCCAGGGGAGTAGCTGCTGCCTTCTCCCTGGAAACTAACTGCAAGGAGAGAGCACACCCTGTCTTATAAATGAGCCTGGATCTTGTGGGAGTCGGTGCTGGCACTTGTTTCAGGGACTGCCCTTATCCACACAGAGTCCCCAGTTACTGAAAGAAGGGTGGGCTGGGGCAGAGATACTCCCAGGGGCCGGGAGGAAGGCCCGGGAGCCGGAGACAACCACTTAAAGGAAGAAAGAGTCAGCCCAAGTGCCCTGGGGGTAGGGAGGGATGCGCTAGGGTAGGACTACCCCACCAGAGATTGGGAAGGCCAGGAGAGGCTCACTGGAGTCCAGTACACCAGGAGCGCTGGCCAGGCAGAGGACCGAGGGCGCAGGGTAAGAAGCCGCACTCCACCAGGTGCTGCAGCAGGAAGCCCAGCCAGCAGGATGCGTTCCCTCACGCGGGCGCTCCTGAGACATCGGGGAGGGGGCGGCAGGGCTCTCCTCGCAAAGCCAGTCAGCCCTGAAGAGTCTCTGGAGCCCCCTCCTACCAGCCTGTCTGGCCTGAGTCTCGCTGTCTCTGAGCTCCCCCCCCCACCCCCCGCCCCGCCGAGACAAACCGGGGACCAGCCCAGATGCTCCTTCATCCCTTTCCAGCCCTGACGGCAGGTGGTTATTCTGGGTCAGCCGGTCCCATCCCGCCCCATCCCTTGTGCTCCCAGAGTTGGGAACGGAGGCTTGGTCTGGAAGCTAAGAAATGGAACAGAACTGGGAGGCTCCCTGGACGGTGCCCCCAGAGTCAGCGCGGGAAGAGCGGCGGGCTCAGGGATGGAGACCCCCGTGGGCCAGTGGGCCAGGTCTCCTAGGCAGGCCAGGGCCAGGGCCACCCTCGTGGAGAATGGCCCTGAAGTCAGCATGAGTGCGAGGGGGGTGGAGGGGCAGGCAGAGGGGTGGATGCCAGCCAGGCCTCCTTGTCATCAGGCAGGGAGGGGGAGGTGACACAAAGACCGAGCTAAGTGGCGGCTGGAGCCCTGGAAGCAGGGTGGTTGTACAGGGCCAGGGCTTAGCTGTAGGGCACAGGGGCGGGGGCTGCTTGGTGTCCGGTTCAACGGCCTCTGCACCCCAAAAAGTCCCCTCTCCACTGGGCAGTATCCCATTATTGGGGGACTCCTCTTCTGACCCTCTCCTCAGGCCCTGGAGACAGGAGAATGTAGCCCTGGCTGGTGTGGTTCAGTGGATTGGGTACCAGCCTGCAGGCCAAAGGGTCGCTGGTTGGATTCCCAGTCAGGGCACCGGCCTGGGTTGCAAGCCAGGTCCTAGTTGGAGAGGATGCAAGAGGCAACTGATCGATGTATCTCACACATCTGTGTTTCTCTGCCTCTCTTCCCCCCCTTCACCTCTCTCTACATAAATAAATAAAACCTTAAGTTTAAAAAAAAGAACATAGGCCCAGGGCCAGACTGCCAGCGCTCACAGTCCAGCTCTGCATGCCCTGTGTGTCCCTGGGCAGGTTATTTAGCCTCGCTGCGCCTCGGTTTTCTCATCTGTGAAATGTAAATAATCATGGTGTTGCTGAGGACGTCAGGAGAAATACAGGTACAGCCTGTGCCCAGGACACGGTGAAAGAGTAGGTGGCGTTTTTCCCCACCTTGCTGACCGGCATGGGACCCTCCCGCCTCTCCACAGACCAGAGAGGCCAAGTCTGACGCCCTCTCTCCCTAAGGGCCAGGGAAGCCTGTGGGGGGAAGAGGTGGTCTCCCCACAGCTGCCCAGGCCCATCCCACAGTCCTGGGCTGGGGACAGAATGTCCAGAGCCTTTACGAAGAGAGGGACCCTTGGCCGAAGTCCTGACTTAGCCCCTGATTAGCTGTTTGCTTTTCGGCAAATAACAGCACCTCTGCGCCTCATCCGCACACCTGCTGCTCCTATAAAACAGGGTCATAGCAGAGCTCACTGCTCCCTGTGCAGGCACCTGGTGGGTGGAGCCAGATGTGGGCTCCGCCCCCACCCCTCCCACCATCACACTGGTAAATATTCCTGTTTTGTTGAAGCTGCCACTGGGCCCCTTATCCTGACGACTTGCTCCCCCCTCCCCCCCAGGGCAGAGGAGCCCCCTGTTTACATTTGTTAGGCAATAGCGAGTTAAGAGAACTGTTTCTATGTACTGTATATTTTACGCTTGTTTACACCTCTAAGTGTTATAACTGATATTTTGAAAAACAAATGAAGAGGAAATGCCCTGTTAAATAAAATTAACTGGCACCAAGAAAAAGAAAATAGCAGTCGCTGGCGGAGAGGGTGGTGAGGACGGGACCTGCGGAAGGCCTGGCACAAAGAAGCCACTCGACGGAGGCTTGCAGTGACTGCCACCTGCTGTGCAGTAGGTGCCACCCACGTCATTTTCCTTCATCATGTCCAACAGGCCGACCCCACACCACTTCCCTTTACCTGGCCCCACCTTCCCCTTCCTCAGGGGTCCCAATGTTACAGGTCAAACTGTGGGTCTCTCAACCCCAGAACACAGAGGCCTAGGCTGTAGGAAGAGCCCCCTGCTCCGCCCCCCCGCTCCTGAGCTACCATCCAGCAGGGTGCACTGAAGAGAGGCTGGTTCCCTTGGCTCCATTTGGGATCAAGACTCAAGTGAAGTGGACAGAGGGACATGGAAGGAAGGGAAAGCCCCTCAAATGCAAATGTCTGGCAGCTCCTGGGCTCCTTGGCCAAGCGGGAGCAGAATGGGGAGGCAGATGGGGTAAGTGGCCAATCACACGGACCAGGAGGACCTTGGGCTTGCCCAGCAGGCGCCAAGAATGTCTTGTAAACACTGAAGACAGGGGGGCCACGGGCAGGGTGCCAGTGAGGGTGGAAATGCAGGGGACAGGGGAGGCGGGTGGAGGGAGAGCAGGAGGCTGCTTGTGTGTTGGAAAATAAGAAAATTGAGACAAAAATATCACAGCCGTGAAACTCATTGGATGCCAAGTGAGCCCGATCTGTCAGGAATCCGACCCCTGTGCTAAGCCCCAGTGCTCGGGGCTGTCACTGACACCGTGGCGGTGGGGACAAGTGGGTCTTTAAATAGCTCAGTGTCTCAGAAGTGGGGGAGGCAGAATGTTAAATATGACGCCTGCTGCCATGCTGGCCCCCCCCCCCCAGGCCATGGTGTCTCACCCCCTGCCTCACGCAGGGCAGGCCCGCCCGGGCTCGCTGCTGAGAGGGATGGGGGAAGAGCCCGCCCGGTGCAGATGGGAGGCGGTGGGCTTTCTACACCCTCCCAAAGGATTCTTGGGTTCCCTGCCTTTGCCTGCTTCACTGGCTCTTGTCTAAATACTGGGAAGTCCTACCTGCAGTCTAACCATCATCCTGCTGCAGCTTTAAATGATCTCTTCTTGAAGTGTCCTCAGCAGAGGAAGAGGACAGTCAGCCCCCACCCCCACAAATCACCTGGCTGAGACAGTTGGGGCTTTTCTGGCACCCCCAGGCTCTCCCCTCATCCTGAGGGTCTTTCCTTGCTGGATGAGCAGGCAGGGAACTGGTGCGGCCTCCTAGCTTTGGCAGAGAGTGGGGGCCCCCAGTTCCATGGTGTACAGCACTTTGGCAGGGTCCCCCAAAGCCTGGCTGTGGCCCTGCCTGAGCTCAGGCCTAAAGGTCGAAGTTCTATCAGTCCTGCTGGGAGTAGGGTCTTTTCATTTCCCAAAAAGAAAGAGGGAGACAACCACTCCACCTCAGACCTAACCTGGAGCAGGTGAGAGGCCTCCCTACCCCACCCCAACAGAAATCAGGAGCCCTGCCACCTCAGAAGACGCAGCCTGGCACAAAGTCCACTGCCCCACCCTCCATACAGACGGAATCCCTCCCTTCTGCAGACACACAGGACAAAAGGTCAAGTGTAAAATCCAAACATGATCCTCAAAGGCAGTGTGGATGCCGATACTCTGTCCCTCAAGGGCCTAGGGGTGGCAAGAGGGGGTTCCTTGTCCCAGAATGTCACACCCTGTAGGGGCCCTAAAGACACAGGCCCCAGATATCTGCCTCTCCCAACCTGACAGCTACCGCTCTGTCCCCGAGGGTGCGAGGATGCCTCTGGGAAGTGTGACACCCCACCAGGAAGGAAGCTGTGTGGCTGATGGCAGTGAGATGCCAGGATCAGGGTGATGCAGACGGGAGCCATGAAGTGACCACTGGCTGCTGGCATGTGGCAGGGAGACAAAGGCTGGGACCCTCGGAGGCCCCTCAGACCCTTGGGTCTGTCCCGGGAGGCTCCAAGCCGAGTTCAGGCCACGCTGTCCTGTGCTCTCAGTTAGGGACGAGGGCCAGGGGCAGTGACAGCGTTGGGCCTGGACAAAGAGTGTCCCTGAAGGAGCCCCAAGGAAAAGAGGACCGCTGTACCCTCCTCAATTTCCCTGCCTGTCCTGCCTTCTCAGCCAGGACCGTAACTCTTTTTCTGCGAGAGGCCTACACAGGAAGTGGTGGCTCCAGCCCACTCAGGCCTGGGACAGCCTCCTGTGTGCTGATGCCAGGCCCTGCCCGTACAACAGTCCCCGTCCCTCAGCCTGGCCCCCGGGCTCCTCTCTGCTCCGTCTTCCCACCCCTGCTCCCATTCACACGGCCACACAGTGGCCGGGCTGGCCATCAAGGTTCTACACTCTCCAGCGCCCGTACCTTTGTACCTTTTTCCCACTGCACCCCCAGCTTGGAATGCTGGGGCCAAATGTCCTCCCCCACATGTGCACCTGTCTAAGGCGGCCCAGGCCTGCAGGCCTCTGCTCCTCCGTGGGTGTCCCTGACAGGCTTCTCCACGTGGTCTCCCCAGGCTGTCTACCCAAGCCCTCCTCGGCTCTGCCTGCCCTCTGCCTCCCAGCCTGTGCCTCCCACTGGACTCAGCCAACATTTGTCCCGGCCCGGGAGACAGCCTGGGAGAGGGGCTTAGTGCTGGGGCCCCGGAGTCAGACAACCCTGAAGCTAACCTGTCTCCACTGTTCGCGAACTGGATGGCTGTTGACTTTGGCCAAAGTTTTTCCTTACAGCGTTAGGAGGGTTAAGTGAGAAAATGTGGGTAGAAGTACTTAGGGCAATGCTCATCACGTGACTTTCCTTCCATAATTCCTGACAATTATTATTAATCTTGGTTGAATGGACAGTGTTGAGGAGGATCAGCGTCTCCCAGAGGCTGCACGGCCTCCTTCCCGCCCTCCTCCTGGGGCTCAGCCTGGGCTTCCCAGTGTCCCCACGCCATCAGCCCTAACGTCCTCAGCCCTCATCTTCCTTGACTGTCCGGGAGAATTCAGAAGAACGGCCCACTCTCTCCTTCCTGTCCTCGTCCTGGGACCCCCCATCACACGACGTGCTAGTTCTCTGCCTGCCCTCTCCTGTCTCCATTGCCGGCTCATCCCCCTCTATTTAGCCGTTATGTTTTGGGGTTCCTCAGGCCTCTGTCCTGGTCCCTTCCCTTCTCGCTGGTGGTCTCACCCACACACATCGATTCTAGCACTGTCTCATAAGCGAAAACACAGGAGGCACCCCTGATTCCTGCCCTCATCTAACTCACCACTGACGCTGGTCAGCACAGCCAGGGTAACGGGAGTGTGGATCCCAGAGCCCCTCCCAAGACCCCTGCCACCTCTCTAGCTACCGTGCCCTGTGCTAAAGCTGCTGGCTAGCTCCTGCATCCTCTCCCGACCCTTCGATCTGTTCTCTGCACAGCAGCCAGAATGAGCTTCCCAAATAACATATTCATGAAACTCCTTCTCTCCGACCCTCTTCGCTTCCTGATACTTTGTAAGTCAAGACCGGAAGTGCCTCAGTGTATCCCCAGGCTCTCCATGGGCTGGCCCTGGCCACTGTCCACCTGCCTGGCAGTCTCACACCCCGTTCCCTGGCTTCCTGCATGGCAGGCCTCCTGGCCATCTAGGTCCTCATATAACCTGAGCTCACTCCTGCCTGTTCAGACATTCTGAGTCTCGATAGATGACTCCTCCCATTCTCCCCGAATTTACCTAGTGAACATTCACCCCCCACTCTGACCTTCCCTTGCATGCCCCTCTTCCTCAGGGAAGCCTTCCCTGATTGCCTGCACTGGTCTGGTCCCCCGTCCCACCTACAACACCTTTCTTCCACTGTACTTTTACATTCAATTGTATGATTAGGCCCATCTGTTTTTATATACTTTTGGATCTCCAGCAACCAACTAAGTACCTGGCACACAGTAGGTGCTCAGGACATGAAAGAATGTCTGCTTTGATGTCAGGAAGGTGAGTGCGACTTGTTTCCCTAAGGCTTACAGAGGTAGCTCCAATCTAAAGATCTCCATAGCGACCCTTTCCTCTCACACCCTCCCCAGGGTTATTACAGTGCAGATCTGTACTCAGTGCCTAGCCCGGGATGCTGGCTCTTCCAACCAGCCACACTGTGAAGCTCAGACCCCTCTCTGGTTACTCAGATGGAACGTATTTCTGCCCCCCTGGACGGTCTGAGACCAGGCTGAACTCCAGGTGGAGTGCGGTGGATGCTACTGCTTCCCGGCCTGGGCTGTGGTTGAGATTGCTTCACAGTCTCCAATCCAACAGGGGCCTTGGAAAGACCCGTGGTTTCAGCACGCTGCCTACCACCCACCGCCCTTCTGTCTGTAACTTCCCCTGTCAGGGCTTTCAGTGACTTCCTCCTTGAGGACGAGAACAGCGTTTCTTTCCTCTCTTCCTCCCTCCCAAACAGCCTGGCCTAGGACTCTGCTAGGGAGGGAAGGTCCCATTCGGCACCTTCCCTTTTGTCTTCCCAGGCCCAACCACCCTGCAACTGCCACTTTAGCCCCGGGAAACAGAGGGGAAGCTCAGCGGGTGGAAGCCCTGTAGGGTGAGAGTGGCGACCTAAGAGTTCCTCTGTCCTAGACGAGGAGTGGAGCAGGAATCCTGCCAGGTTACCTACCCAGGCGAAGGCCACGCAGGTGGGGTACATGGGAGAGGAGGCCGGCACGAAGGCGCGGTAGCGGCAGAGCATCACCAGGCTGGCCAGGCCATTGAGGAAAGAGGCCGCGGCAGAAGCCGGCTCTTGGAAGAACAGGAACCGGGAGAAGGGCCACTGGAAAAGGAACACATCATGGGGGGCCTGAGGGGTAAGCAACCCCCAGCTAGCCCAACCTATCTTTCCTTGACTTGCTGCATCAATAGGTCCTCAGCATGTTCCTCCGCTTGGGACCTGGCCAAGCTCTGGTTCAGACCCTCTTTGAGTCAGTGAGCTCCTGGTCCAGGCACTGGCTGAGGGTCACCCCTCTATCCTGGCCAGCACTCACCCCTGTGAGACTGGTCTCTGGGAAGGCCAGGGCGGCCAGTGTAGATGGCTCAGAACGGCCTGGTGGAAACAGTGCTACCATCTGGAAGATGGAGGCCTTATTTCCTCTCTACCACTGACCGCAGCCCTCTGAGCGAGCCTCAGCTTACTCTGTGATACATACATTGTGGAGAATAATTCTTGCCGACAGGGGGCTGGAACAAGATCATTATTGGATCCAAAGGCACCAGCAACCTGTGTCTCGCTAGTCAATCGGAAGGGTATTACTATTTTAACCCAGACTCCTACTGAAGCAGCATCTTCCCCGATGCTGTGGTGGGCCGGGGAATTTCTCCTTGTGGCAAGGTGGGCATGCAACACCCCTGAGAAGCCCAGCGCCACTCCCGAGGAGACCCTAGATCCTGCTCCAAATCCAGAGGCAGGACGCATTGGTCTCATCTGATTCCCATAAGAAAACGAGCAGATTTTGAGAAGAGCAGGCACCCCAATACAGCCGCATTACTCCACACTTCAGACTGTGGGTCCAACTAGGACATACCTTACTCCCACCACACCGCCACTGTCCGCCTGCCCTGACCCTCCAACTCACCTTGCCATGGAACTGAGGCACTTCATGACCTTCCTGGAGGTAGATGCCGACGGTGACCCACATACACTCATACTTACAGTCATCCTGACAGGTCCAGCCTGAAACAGATAAAGTGGCCTAGTGACCTGCCCAGGAGGGAGGCACAGAGAGAGCTTGAATGGGGCCCAAACTCGAGTGCAGGCCAAGAGGGCCTGCAGGTCGAAGAGAACCAGAAGAAATCTCAAAAGTCTAGTTTCCCACTTGGATGGGTAAAAGATGGTGGGATGTACACACATGAGAAAGGGGTGTGTGTGTGTTCTAAGGGGTGGAGGTGTACGGTGAACAAATCTGAGATGTTTCTTCTCTTCTCCTTTCACCCAAGAGGAGGGTCTTGGCAGCTGATGGCCTCATTTATGGACACATGGGTTTATATTTGTCCTTCCTGACACGGGATTTGTCCTCCCTCACCAGGGAGGGACACTGCTGCCTTACCCCCCTCCTATAAAAATAAAGTCTGCATTCTTCAGTCTGACTTTTAAGGCCCCAAATCGTCTTTCCAATTTTATTTCCCCAAATCGTCTTTCCAATTTTATTTCCCAATACTCCTTTTCATGCACGCTGCTCCCCGGGGAAACCAAGCCTCTGGATCTGCCCGCAGCTGCCCAGGGCCTCCACTCTGTCCCATCTGTCTAGATGGGAAAGGGGTGGTTCGGCTTGCAGTCATAGAGGCCAGAACTGGAAGCTCTACAATACTACTTTCTGGCTCTGTGATTTTGGGCAGGCCGAGTTTTGCATCTGTAAAATCGAAATCTACCGCAAAGTGACACCGGTCACACAGAAGGTAACCACTAGGACACAGGTCCAAATTGAACGTATCTATCCAGAAGCTCTTCTCAAAATGTTCTAAGGTGATTGCTGTCCCCAAGCCCACAAAGCTATAAACGATTCCTTTCTCCCCTACATGATCCCATGGCCTAATCTACGGATCCTTTAGGGCTCGAATCATTCTCCACCTTGAACTAGAGAAGGTTCGTGCACCCATGGGAACTGTGAGCCCCGAAGGGCAGGACCCTGGGACCCTGCTCTGATTTCAGTGTCATTCCACGAAACCGTACCCGGAAATAGTAAATGAATAACCGTTTGAATGAATAAATAAAAAGTAAATGAAAGTCTCTGGGAAACTAACACTGGCTGATGGCCTTTCATTTCCCTGGGGCTCCACTCACACTCACAATGGATCCTGGGTAAGAAACTAAGTAAGATTTAGAGACTGACAGCAGAGGGGTATTTGGGGGCGAAAGAGGAGGGGTAAAGATCAGGGGGCGTGGTTCAAAGGGCGGGACTTACCTGCTAAACTCATGTAGATTGGCTGGCGGGACCGGAAGTGCTTCAGAGCGTCCCCCGAGCAGTTCCGCTTCTCGCAGCGGAGTACGCAGTCGCGGTAGACCGGCTCGCGGTCGCCCTGGGAACCGCTGGCCAGTGCTGCAGCTCCGGCCAGAAGCACGAGCCGCGCCGTCTGCCCGGCCATCCTTTCCCTTTACCCTCCGCCGGCGGAGAAGCTTGGGAGTCTTCACATCCGGAGTAACCGGAAGTGTCTTGGTTTTCTACCTTCTCCGCTGACGTCTACTTAGTTTAAATAAAAAGTGCCCGGATTTTCCTGGGCGTCTGCCCCGCCCCTTGTTTTACTGTCATCCCCAGATAGAGAGGCGACAGGGTTAAGGGAAAGAGGACGCCAGGTGGATTAAGGCGCAAAGTAAAGTGGTCTTTTTAACAGCCGTCTTGTGTCTTCCCCAGGGTCTCTGTTTGAGGTAGGGCTATTTTTCTGTCACTGGCCCTGTTAGATATGCACCTGGAACTGTCAACTCCTCTCCATCTCCTCTGCCACCACCACCCTGGTTAAAGGCATCATCTGTCGCCGAGACAGCCACAGCAGCCTCTTAACGAGTCTCCCTGCCTTTTCTTTCACTCCCTCCAGTCTGCGCTCCATTTCCCAAAATTCAGATTTGACCATGTCACTTTCCTTGTTAAAATTCATTTCCGGGTCTCCATACCTCAGGATAAAATAATTCCGCAAGCCTTGCACGATTTGGCCCTGCTCACTAGTCTGTGTCACTCTCCTGCCCAGACCTACCTGGAGGGGCCATGTCTCTCTGGCCTTCTGGCTTTGTCCCATCTGTATCACTCTTACTGTCACCCTGTCTCATTCTTCCAGTCTCGGTTTAAACATCACTTTGGAGGGCGGTAACACCTGGAGAGTGATATAACACACAGTGGTCTGTTTTTCCCCAGTGGGGTGGGGACCCCTGCTCTCATGTTTACCACTCTGCTTCTAACACTAATACATGATTTGGCTCCTGGTAGGCACTAAGAATTTTTTTTTTAATGAATGCCAAGTTTTTAAACTGGGTGCCAAGTCCTGGGTTGTCCAATCAACCCTGCATCTGAATCAAACCAGCATGATTCAGACCGTGCTGAAAATAGGAGACGTGTAATATTTTCAGGAAAATTAAGAGGATGACCTTTAGGAATGGGGTGCTGGCTTTAGCATTCCCCCTGTACCACCAGCACACACATGCACATCTCGCTGAAGCGTGGAAGCCTTGTAGTTAGATGTGTAATTAGAGTGTGTGGATTAATGACTGTCTTGCCTCCTCCCCCACTCTCTTCACTCCTGGTCAACATTTTCTTTTTATCAACTTCTCTTTTTCTTTTCTTTTCTTTTATTTATTTATCTTTAGAGGGGAAGGGAAGGAGAGAGGGAGAGAAAAATCAATGTATGGTTGCTTCTCGTGCATCCCCTGCTGAGAACTGGCCTGCAACCTAGGCATGTGCCCTGACTGGGAATTGAACCTCGTGATCTTTTGGTTCACAGGCCCATGCTCAATCCACTGAGCTACACCAACCAGGGCTAAACTTTTTATTTTTATTTATTTTGTTCGAGTACAGTTGTCTTCTCAACTTTTTCTTTTAATAGGGAGGCGAAATGAGCAGGAAGTAAAATTGGATTCCGTTCATTTACACGTTAGGCAACATTTCCTGGGCCCTTAGCTCTAGCTCCATTCCAGGCAAGGCACAACTCCAGGCGGCACCGTCCATATCGTATTTTCTGTGACTTGTTCCTCTTCCAGTTGAGCATCAGATTAACAGTGTCCCCTGGTTGTCAGCGATGGGGAAGCTGAAAGAAAACATCCTCCCAGACCCTCCAGGAGCTGATCAGAAACAATCAGGTACTAACACAACTTTGCAACTGCTAGATCGGTCTGTGTATAATGCATTATTCCACTTTGTCTTTATTATAGCTCTGGGGTGAATATTTGTTTGAGGAAATACAGGATTAAAGAGAATGAGATCCTCACAAAGCAGGGTGCTCCCTTTGAGAGAATTCCAAGTGAGCTACAAGGCTCTCTTAAAACACTTTTAAGTTTCCAATTTCGGAGACCTCATTCTATATTATATAAAATACACTAATATAACATGGCAACACCCCACATTAAATAAACCTTATTGCCCTGGCCAGGTAGTTCAGTTGGTTGGAACATCAACCCAACAGGCCAAGGTCTCAGGTTGTCGGGGCACATGAAAGAGACAACCAGTGGATGCACGAATGGGGGCATCAGCAAGCAGACGTTCCTCTCTCTCTGTCTAAAAGTCAGTGAATGAAAATAAATAAATAAATAAATAAATAAATAAATAAAATTGATAAATAACTGCGTAGAGTTGGGTTGCTGTTAATAGTTGGCCAGATGGCCCAGTTGGTTGGAGCGTTGTCCCGTCCACCAAGAGGCTGCAGGTGTGGCCCCGGTCGGGGAACATATGGCAGGCAAGCAATCAGTGTTTCTCCCTCCCCCCGCCCCACTGCCTCTCATCCTAAAATCAATAAGCGTGTCCTCGGGTGAGGGTTAAAAAAACCTGTTAACTGCTATATTTTATGTACATTTAATAAAATACGAATATTCACATTTTAAAAATATTTTGGAGCTAACATTAAAAATTAGTTGAGGTCTCAAACATTTCATAGATCCTTGGAAATTCATGCCTGTGTGGCTGATGGAGAAAATCCAAGGGTCAGGTGGAGGGAGAGAGAGGAGGCTTCTGTCCTATTGTCCTGGTGGGGAATGGGGTGTTGTTTTTCTAGGACATCTCTTGCGGTTTTTCCATCTCAACACATCGTCTCTAGGCAATTACTTGGGGCCTCTCCCTCCCCCAACGTCTCAATCTAGGACCCTCTTCTTTACTGAGCACCCGCTTTGCTTAATCTGCTTCCTAACTTGTATTTGGTCTCCTCCGTGAGTCAGTCTGCAAAGGTATCGATTGATTCCTTCAGCTCCGGTTTTTTGAGCCCTATTGGGTGCGAGCCACTGCGCTAGGAAAAAGGACAATGAATCAGAAATGGTTCACCACGTGCAAGGCTCTGGTGCGAGATGGAGATGAACGAGGCACCATCCTTCTCATCGTCGGAGAAGGGAGACGGGCCACAAACAAGCATCAGACAAAAGACTAAGATAATTTCACTGCTAATGTAGGATAATTTAGCACTATCAGACTATAAATTATACACACCCCTTAATCCAGCAATTTGCACAAACCCTCTACCCAGCAATTTTTCTCCTAGGTGTACCTATGCAAGTACGAAATGGTGTAAGCACAAAGCTAGGTATGGCAACGTTGTTGTTTTCTTTTATTTTTTTCCCAGCACTTTTTTATTTTACTTATTTTTCAAGTACAGTTTTCTATTTCTCCCATCCCAGCCCAACCCGCCCTGTGCTCCCCACCTCCCTCCCATTTCCACCCCCCTTAGTTTTGGTCCATGTGTCCTTCATACTTGTTCCTCCAAATCCCTCCCCCTTTTTCCCCTTAAATTCCCTCCCCTCTCCCCTCTAGTTACTGTCCCCCTATTCTCTATTTCAGTGTCTTTTGTTTTTATTCTGCTTGCTTGTTTGTTTTGTTGTTTAGCTTCCTGTTAAAGGTGAGATCATATGGTATTTGTCTTTCAACACCTGGCCTATTTCACTCAGCATAGTGCTTTCCAGTTCCATCCATGTTGTTGCAAAGGGTAGTAGCTCCTTCTTTCTCTCTGCTGCATAGTATTCCATTGTGTATATGTACCACAATTTTTTGATCCATTCATTTACTGACGGGCACCTAGGTTGCTTCCAACTCTTGGCTATTGTAAATTGTGCTGCTATGAACATTGTGGTGCATAGGTTCTTTGAAATTGATGTTTTGGGATTCTTAGGATATAATCCTAGCAGTGGAATTGCTGGGTCAAAAGGCAGGTTGATTTTTATTTTTCTGAGAAAATTCCATACTGTTTTCCATAGTGGTTGCACCAGTCTGCAATCCCACCAACAGTGAACTAAGGACCCCTTTTCCCCACACCCTCTCCAACATTTGTTGTTTGTTGCTTTGTTTATGATAGCCATCCTGACCGGTGTAAAGTGGTATCTCATTGTGGTTTTAATTTGCATCTCTCTGATGGCTAGCGATATTGAGCATCTTTTCATGTGTCTCTGAACATTGTTATTTTCAATAGAAAAAGAAAAGCAAACAAGTAAATGTACACTGATAGGGAATGAATTGCATTCATTGAGAAAGATCGATACAATTACAATGCAAGGCTGAACAGAAGGTAGTAGGAATGGGCAGACTGATAATGTACTGACATGGAAAACCCTTCACATTCTTGGTAAGGGCGAAAAGTGAGGTGTAGAACAGTGTGCGTGCATGTTACTTAATGTGAAGAAAATAAAAGTGTTTAGTATGTTTGCTATTTTAGAGAATAGATCTAGATAGATACACAAGAAAGTGGAAATACTTGTTGCCTCTGTGGAGAAGTGAAGGATACTTTTTATTCTTGTACCTTTTAAATGTTGTACCCTCTGTATATATCATCAACTAAAAACAAAGAAAATTGTTAAAAGAACAAGTGTTGAGTTGTATAATTGGGTAATGTAACAGTGAGGGAGAGAGAGTAGGGGATAGGGAGGGAGGGAGAGGCTACTGTTGGTGGTCAGAGCACGCCTTTTGGAGAAAGTAACATTAGAGCTGAAGGAACCTGCTCTCCTCACATCTCCAGGCCCATTGTTCTAGGCAGAGAGTGCAAAGGCCCTACAGCAGGAACCCGCTTAATGTCTTTGAAAAACACAAAAAGAAGGTTAAGGTGAAAGGTTTGGGCAAATGGAAGCTATGGAGAGGTGTTTTAGCACTGGAGTTAATTAGATGATCTGACTTTCATTTAAAACCTTTACTTTGGCTACTGTGGGGAAGGAGGAGTGGTCTGGGGGGATTGAAAGGGGGCCCAGCAGCACTGGGAGGCCAAAGGCTACTAGTGCTTCCACCCAAGGGCAGCTGGAGGCTGCTGCTACCTGGTGGTGGCAGTGGAAAAAAGGGTAGATGTATTGGGAGAGGAATTGATAGCTCTTACAGAAAGATTGGCTATCAAGGGCAAGGAAAAAAGAGGAATCAACAATGTAGATTCAGTGAATGAAATCATTTGAAATTAGAACTGCCTTTCTGGGCCAGGTCTTCATGATCGCCCTAGTTTAATGCTTCTGGAAGCTCACTAGTGTTGGGGCCCAGGAAGCTTTTCCCTTATGCCTTTTCATTCTTCTGGTTGGTCAAATAATTCAAAAGACGTGGAGCGGACGAACAAGAGAAAAACCAAATTCCAATATGTGCTCCCAGGGAACTCACATAAGCATGGAAATTCCAAACACAGCGGGCAAAATGAGGTGTGTATGTCATTCTGGGCTAAGGAAGAGGAGGTAGGCGATTCAGAGGCAGACGAAAGAGAGCGAGCAGCTGGTCAACAAGTTCTTGCAGGGCCACCTAGAAGCAATGGGACGCAGAGGGTGACCTAGCAAACAGATTTTGCTCGGATCCTCCCTTGTCTGCCACACTTAGTCCCTATCCGCTCGGGTGCTTAGGCTGGGCTTTCCCTCCTGAAGCAGGGTTGTCTACCTGGATCTGGAGGCAAGTAAGAGGGAGGTCAAAACCAAAAACACAAACAAATCAGCAAACAACAGAACTCTTCCTGAGTGTGTTGGGCTTCCACTGTTGTCAGCTCAAAATAATCTGCATTTCGGGGTGGCACGTGGCGGGGAAATTTGCTCCGGACCCCCGGCTAGTACGCCCTTTCTCAAGCCAAAAGCCAGAGAGGCCAGCAAGTCCTCATTCACAACCCCACTGCTCTGTATCTTCAGCAGAAGGGGAGTGAATGAGTTGGGGCTCTGAAGGGCATAACGGAGCAGGAAGAAGCAAAGTTTGTGAAGCAAGGACTTTGAAATTGGGCAGAGCGATGGTTCAACAGGGCTTGTGAGGGGTAAGCATGGAGTTTTGAAGAGGTCACCGCCCCCCACTCCAAGTCATAAAACACTGTGATCAGGGACTATTGAATCCAACTCTCTCTTTGTTCCGACAGCAAAGTGAAGCCTTGTTTCGGCCACATGGTCCAGTGACTGTTTTAGGAAAGGACCCCAGCACATGTTAAGTGGCACAAACACGCTGATGGCACAGGAGATAGGAACGCAAACCCTACAGCCTCCTATGCGCAGGCCAGGATGGAAGCCACGTGCACTTCTGCACAGGCGTCAACGCCGGGTGAGGCTGAGAGCGCAAGAGTAGGTTTGGTCTCCGCAAAGCAGCGTGGGGAGAGAGCCGGGAGAGGGGCTGAGGGAGGCGACCAGCATGTCCAGGGTCATCTTGTCTGCGTGCCCCTTTGTTACACCTGGGACTGGGGTTCACCCTGGACTCAGGGAGCAGCCTCCCGGCAGTTAGATCGCAAGCATTCTTGAAAGGCCATCTTTAGGAAGTACAGATTTTCTTATCAAAATCTTCCAAATGACTCTCCCGTGGCCCCTGGGGGGACTGGCGTCTACTCTCCGAGGACGCCTTCCAAGCAGCTAATTCACGCAGACTCTCCCCCTGCAATCGGAGCCCCGACTCGAGGCCCCGGGGGGTAGGCCCCAGTTTGCAGCCTGGACCTCGGACTGTGGACCGGCTCCCTTCTGTTTGTTTTCAGTCTCCTGACCAGACGGGCTGGTGAAGTAGGCAGAGGGAGGGGACTCTGGTGCCAACGCGCACGCGCGCGCACGAGCACTCCCCCTGTGCGCCCCCCCCCCCCCTCAGCGGGCTGGTCAATGATTGATTGGCATTTCACAGGCGGCTGGCTCCAGAGCCCACTCTGTTGACCCTTGGAGGTCACCTTCCCTAAGCCAGAGCCCCCTCCTGCCTCTCCAGTGCCAGCGGTCACCTCCGCTGCCCACAGGCCGGGTACCTGTTGCCCAAAGGCCTGCCCTGCAGACCTCTCCCGCATCTGTCCCCTGCCCCTTGGTTGGCCCCCCTCTGTCCCGCAGCCACCCCTCTCCTCTATAGCTGTCTCCTTCCCCAGGGTCCTTGTTGGACGCTGCTAGCAAACCCTCTGGCTCCTCCAGCAACCATGTGGGCCCTCCAGCCCCCTTCCTCCCCGCCCCCAGTACCCACCCCCTCCAGCCTTTGTCCCGCAGACATCCTCTTTCCTTGGCTCTCCAGCCAGGCCCTGCTGGAGGGGCAGTGGAGGGGAGACTCGAATCAGCAGTACCACCCCTGCCCCCCCCTTCCTCTCCCCTTGTCAAACACCAGACCAGGTCTTTCCCCTTCCTTCCCTGCTCTGAATGGGCTCATTCTCTCGAGAGCCTCGGCCCTTCTCGAGCCTCCTCCCCGGGGCGTGAGTTCTGACCCCCGCTCCTCCCCCATCCCACTCAGGCCCGCGGGCTCCGCCCCGTCTTGGCAGCCCACTGGGACTGACCATTGTCTCCAGTTCGGGTTTCCTCCTGGGATCTGGGATGCAGAGAGGGTGGGCTTGGCTTGGCAAGGCTGGAGAGGGTGGCTGGGACGGGTAGTTAGTTAGTTACCCGGATTTCTTGGAGGATCCCGCTCTGGCTCCCGCGCAGGGGCCAGGGTGAAGGCCGGTCATGGCACCCTTGATTCAAGGCTCTGGAGCGGACTGGATGAAGCCAGAGCCTCATGCCTCGTTCCTATTACCTGGGAACCCCAGGTTTCCACTTCTGCAAACTCACACAGATCACACCCGCCTCCTCTGGTGCCCTAGGACTCAGGGGGTTGAGGCGTGGGGCTCTCGGATAGAGAGGCACCGCGTAGGGGGTCCTGTAAAGGGGCCACAGCAGCCTTCCTGCCTGGGCCAGCCCTCCTAACTCAGTGTTGGGGGAGGGTGGGCCTGGGAGAAAAGGGAAATCTCTGACCGGAACCCTAATACCCTGACGGTCTCTTCAAGGCTGAGTAGGCACCTGTCCAGGTACAGCCCTCCAACATGTGAGCAGCAAGTGACTCTTGGAGTCAGGCCACTGTCTCCTCACCTGAAAGGGCTAAGAGGCACCTGGACCAGGTCTTGGACGGTGTGGTGGGGAAGGGGGAGGGGTGATTTTGCTGGCTGCTCAGCTTTTTCCTCACTAGCTCTGACAGGGTCCTGGGCAACTTGGTTAGTTCATTTGAGCCTCTGTTTCTTTGACCCTCGCCCTCTCTCTAGAGAAACGAGGGGTGCCAATGCCCATCCCAAAGGGCGGCTGTGTCCCCAGACACAGCAGTATTTCTTGGCCGGTTGTGACTGTCGTCCCCAGAATAGGTCCGTTGGACTTGGTCCCCAGGACACACCTGCCGTCACCCACACTTACCCTTAATACGTGATGTTCACAAATCTTTCCTATTCCATTCTATTTCTTAACAAACACTTTGTCTTGATTGTCTAAATTGGATTCGTGACTTGGTATTCCTCTCCTAAAGTCCTCCAAACCGCACAAGCCCTAGAGCCCCACGAAACCAGCATCTGCCACAGCACAAACCAGACCTGAGGCCCCTGACCAAGGTGCTCAGTACCGTGCTGGGGGCCTTGGGCATTTATCGCCTTGGACCCCTAGCCCGGAATGCCGGATGCTATTTTACAAGTGATTGAACAGACCAAGAAAGACTCAGCCACTTGCCCAAGGTCACACAGCCAACGTGCGGGGGGCGAGGAGATTCGAACCAGGTCTTCCTCATCCCAGAGCACCCCTTTCCCAACCTTTCCTCCCCCCTCCTCTGTGAATGTGCCCGTATGGAAGCAGCTTAAGAAATGCCGGTGTCCATTCTTTTTCTTTTCTTTTTTTTCAGAGAGAGAAGAGGGGAGGGGGAGAGAGAGGGAGAGATCTGGGGAGACAAGAAACATCCATGTGAGAGAAACGTCAATCTGACCGGTTGATCCGTTGCCTCTGCTAGGTGCCCAGACCAAAGGATATGTGCCTTGACCCGGGATCAAACCTGCAGCCTCGCGGTGACCTGGACAACACGCTCTGACCAGCTGGCGTCCCTGCTTCCGTCCCCAGCAGGCGCCTCCGACCCCCTCCCCAGCAGCACGAGCCTGCTCTGCGCCGCGGCGTTCCAACCAGAGTAGCCAGATGTAACAAATAAAAATACGGACGCCCAGTTAAATTTGAATTTCAGATAAACAAGGACTAATTTGTTAGTGTAAGTTGCATATCCCATGAAATATTTTGTTGCATTTTCAACAGAAACATGCCTTTCTTTCCACCCCACGCCCACTTCCACCACCCACTGGGCCTTAAGTGCGGGGCCGGGGGCCCAGCTGGAGTGCTGTGCGGGGAGGTGGACCCGAGCAGGCCGGCGGAAGAAGGGCGAGGGACAGGGAAGCCACTTTGGGTAAACTGGCGCCCAGTGCCCCGTGGTACGTGAATAAGGGGGATGTTCTTCCAACTGGCGGCCCCTCCCATTTGACCCTCTTTCCCCAGACCTGTAGACTCTCTTAAAACCATGCTTTTCACGATGGATCAGACGCCTCAAAGACTCGAGAAGGCGTGCCAGGGAGTCCTGGAAGCCCCGAGTTCAACACGACGCACGCCCCTCCTTGCCTATCAATTTTACTTGGGGATGCGGTGGGAGAGCCATTATCTGATATTAAGACCAACTGGCACTTGATGGAGTAGGACGCAAACTCTTCGGGAATGTTTACGATAAAACCTGCGACTTGAAAGAAGTTGGCATTTGCCCCCCGCCCCCACCCCGCGGCCCCCGGGGGAGGGGCGCCCCCGCCCGCCCCGCTTCTAGGCGCCCCGCGCGCGGAAACGGGTGGCCGCGGCGGCGGCGGCGGGCACCCCGGGGCGGGCGCGCGCGGGGCGGGACGCACCCCAGGCCTGCGCGGACAGAGCGAGAAAGTGAAGCCGGGCCGCCACTCCCAGGGACTCGCTGGAATGCGGTTGGAGGGGGTGGGGGCGGGGGGCGAGCCGCGAGCGCGCTGGCTCCCGTCACAGGAGGAGGCGGAGGCGGCGGCCTGCCTCGAGGAAGTGCAGGAATGAAGTTGCGGCGCTGAGGTTCCCCCGTCGCGCGCCGCGCCCGCAGGAGCCCCCGAGGCGGCCGCCCGCCCCTTCGCGGGCAGCCCTTCCGGCGCCCCGCGCTCGCCCCCCCGGCCCGCCGCCCCTCCAGCCTGGTCCCGCCGGAGCCATGGGGCCGGGGCCGCGGTGAGGACAATGGAGCTGGCGGCCTGGTACCGCTGGGGGCTCCTCCTCGCCCTCCTGCCCCCCGGAGCCGCAGACACCCAAGGTGAGCCTGGGGCGGGCAGGGCGGGGAGCCGCGACGCGCCCCCGCAGCCTGGGACCCCCGGCGACACCCCCGGGCCGGCGGGGCGCAGGGGGCCGCGCGGGCTTCCCGACCCGGAGTTTCGGGCAGTCCGGGCGCTCGGAGCCGGCGGGGAGGGGGCAGGAGAAGGCGGGGCGGGGGCCGGGCAGCGGCGCCCCAGCGCCTCTCGGCGTCCCATTCAAGGGACCGGCGCTTTCCGGGCTCCGCGACGGCCGCGGGGACTTGTCAGAGGGGTTCTCCGAGACTGCGGAGAAAGTTTCCCTCAGAGGGTTCCCTGCGCGGCGCGCGCGCGTCCCCCCTTCCTGAGCCCCCTGGAGCTCCTGCAGGCCTTTCCAGTTGGCAGCCTCCGCCTCCGGACTGGACTGGGCTGGGTTCCTTGGGGGTCCCTCCAGCTCCGGCCTCCCCCCTCCCCGCTCCCGCCCCTCCTCGGCCGTTTGGGTTCAGTTACTCCTGTTTCGGGCAAGATCGGGTGTGGAGGGGGTGGGGGGGGAGCCACCTGCCCAGCGGGAGCCGGGAGGCGAGGGTGACCAGTCGGACCGCGGGGCCGCCTCCCGCGGGAGTCTGGGCTGCGGGAGTGGGGTGGGGAGGCGTTTGTTTTGAACAACTTTCTGGAGGGCCCAGTGGGGACGGCGTGCTTTGTGGCTCCGGGAGAGCATGGGCGGCGCGGTGGGCTTCCCGGTCTGGGGCCCGAAGTGGGAGGGTTCTGCAGGAGGGGCTCCGGGGGCAGTTGCGGGCTGGGGTGGGGGCGAAGGATCGGGGACCGCATGCCCTGATCTGTACGCAGAGGGCCGGGTTGTCCCGGCTTTTGCCGCACCCTGCGTTCGGGGAAGAGTGAAAGGGGAGGGCAGCGTGCTGCTCCATCCGTCCGTCTGTCTCCGCGATAATGACGAAACCTGGAAATGTACTCCGTGCCAGGCGCTGCACATGGTGTTTTGCATGCGCGCCCCCTTTAACCCTCAGAACCACCCCGTGAGAGGAGTCCCACCCGTGTTCCCAGGCCCCGGGTGAAAACCTGGGCTTGAAGCGGTCAGTTAAGTAGCAGCAAGTAAGTGGTGGATCCAGACCCAGATCGGACCCCAGGCAGTGCGACCCCCAACTGCACACTTGAAACCACTGTTAATCTGCCTGGAACAGTGGGAGACACAGCTTCCCCCCCCCTCCCCGTCACCAGGTCGTGGGGAGGACACAGGGAGAGAGTTGTGGGGGACGTGGGTGGTCTCCGTAGGTCCCGGAGTCTGGAGAAGGGGTGCCTGTCATCTGGTCTGGTGCCAGAGGGCCCTTCTGTCACCGTGTTGCTGGGCCGAGAGGGGCCTGTCTGCCGGGGTGCTCTTGAGCTGTGTGGTCTGTGTGTCTGGGCTTTGTGTTGCTAAGCAGTCTCTCTTTGCTGACTTGGGGACTCAGCTGAACTCTGCCCTCTGAAGGAACTCCCTCAAGGTGTCGGGCCAGCTCCCCTGTAAACAGGGGGAGGTGGCCCCAGCCTGCCTTCTATCTGAGGAAGGAGGCTCCCGTCCTTTGAGCTTATCCTTTCCCTCCCTGTTACCCAGGCCGGCATCTTTGCCCCTGACCTTGTGCTGAGAAGGGTGAGGCTAGGCTGGGCCGAGCTGCCGTCCTCCGCACCTGGGCCTGAGAGTTGAGCAGGTGGGGAGGGGCTGGGTGCTGCTGTGCTGGGGCTGAGGGGTCGGTCCCCAGGTCTTCCTCATTTCTCAACCTGCACTGCTGGGTGCAGAGAAATGCGGGGCGTGTCATGCAGGGAACACGGTTAAAATGGCAGCACACGGCCCAGCTGCCTCCAGCCACCCCATTACATTGCAGGACTGAACGCTGGGGGAGGAAGGGGGGCAGGGGAGGTGGGAGAAGCCCCAGGATTTTGCTGAGACCCTCCGTTAGAGGTCCAGGTTTGAAGTGCAGCGAACACGTCCTTTTTGTCTCGCAGAGCTCATGTTTAACTCGTGTATGGTTCTCCCAACACTCTCTTCCCTTCTTTTTACTGTACTTAGGGGAAGTAACCTCATATTAATATTCCCAAGAAAACCTTTGGAAAGACAGGGTCCAATGCAAAAAGAGAAAGCACATGGCATTCCAAACAGAAAGCCCTCTTTCTTTTCTCTTGGTTGGGAATTACCCGTACTCCCGCTGTGCGAACTTCTCTCAACTTTTAAAAAATGTGCAGCCTGCTTCCCATATGCCAGGTTCTTGTCCACGGGCAATTTCATGTAATCTGTGCAACAATCCTGAGACATGACTGCACCGAGGGGAAGACTGAAGTTCAAAGAAATGAAGTGACTTATCGAAGGCTTCCCAACCACCCAGGAGTAGTCGGGGGCATTTTTTTGAACTCCAATGAGGAGTTACTGAGAGTTGATCAGTCTGACTCTATTGAACAGAAATGGGTTGAGCAAAGCCTCAGGGGCAGCCAGGTACTCAGACTGGGGTAGAGGTACTACTCTCTGATTCAGGTGAATGAGTGACCTTCCTCATCTAGGCTATAGGAAGTGGGGCTGAGAGGGACACTCCCAGGTCGCCTCTTGGCTTTGGAGTTATCTCTCCCTGTCCACCTGGTGTCTGCCTTCTTCCTTGGGGCCTCCTGGAACGGCAGGGGACTGAGGGGAGGTGTGGGGTCGAGGCCATGGGACCTGCAGGGATGTAGGGAAGGACACAGCTGGATTAGAAGCAGGAGGGACCAGTGTGGGACTGGGGCTGGGACTGGGGCTGGGGAAGCTGATATAGGACACAGGTAGTTATGCCTGCCCCTGGCTGTTGAAATGATCTAGAAAGAGACCCTGCCCTCTGCCTGTGGGAAGCTCCTCTGGGGTGACATGTCCATCTTTTGCTAGGCCACCTTTCCCGTCTACCCCTGGGCAGAGAGTGGAAGTAGGGGGAGGGGTGTGCTCTTTCCCAAGGAGGAGAGTCATAGCCAATGTTTGTGTTGCCCGAGCTCTGTTTACAAAGCCTAGTCATGTTTACAGACTGCGTTTGGATTCATTATCTCATTTAACTTCTCTGCAGAAAGGAAGAGTTATTATTGTTTTATTATTTTCTCCTATAGCCAAGTTCAGGTCAGTCAATGTTCACCGAGTGCCTATTAGGTCACAGGCACTGCTGTGCATAGAGGTGAACCTGATTTGGCCCCCACCCTGGAGGTCCAGGACTTGCTGAAGGTCACAGAGTGAGTGGCCCAGCTGTGTCCTGGTCTGATGACTTTGAGTCCAGGCCCCCATCTGCCTGATAACCCCAGGTATGTGGTGGGTGGGCGAGCTTTGGGGTTGCAGGTAGTGTTCATGGAAACCAAAAGAAGGATGGGCTTTCGTGCTGGTGAGCGAGAGAAGCAGCTGCTGGGCCTGGAGGCTGGTGGGGGTTAGAGAACCCTGTTGAGAGCACCCCGAGTTGGAGGGACCTGAGCGAGGGACTGTGGCCAGTCTCTCAGCTGTGGGATGGACACTGTGATCTCAGCTGGTTCCTTTTGGTGTGAAGACTCTTTTATTTTTATTTTTAATAATTTATTTATTTTTAGGAGGGGGCGAGGAGAAAGAGGGAAAGAAACATTGACTGTGTTTGCCTCTCACACGCTCCCAATTCAGAACATGGCCAAAACCCAAGTGTGTGTGCCCTGACTGGGAATTGAACTGGCAACCATTTGAGTTCACAGGCTGGTGCTTAGTCCACTGAGCCATAGCAGCCAGGGCTGGAGACTCTTGATTGGACTTCATTCATTCATCCGTCCTTCCATCCACCCACCCACCCATCCAGCAAACACCCAAGTGCTCACGGGGTGCCCTGCCCTAACTGTGGCTCCTAAGGAGGAGCAGGTGTCCTGGAAACACAGAGCTTAACTCTCCTGCGTAGAACGAGACCTCCTGCCCACCCCCACCCAAGAAAATCAATGGGGCAGGGCAGATATG